GGCAGAGCCAGACAGAAAGGGGGAACAAAAGGACAGAGCAAAGTAGCTGCTCTCAGTAACCCGTGTGATGTCATATGGAAAAGTGTGTAACATTGTTAAAATATACAAAAAAAAGACAAACTTGTGACACAACACTTGCGGCATTGAGGAAGAATGTGTCACTCACTTGTTAAAATTCAAAATAAAGGAATTAACAATCAGAGAAAAATGTTCTGCAAAAACCAGAGAAGTCGTCATGGACACAAGGTCAGCAGATTTCAACAGTTCCACACTGTTGTTGTGGAAGACTGCGGATGAGTTAAGATATGAAGTGGCTCGAGCATCCTCTACTGCCTCTCGCCACAGGTACCTCACAGGGTGAGTGGGATTTTTTCAGCTGCAGTTGCTGAAAGGGGGCCCTCAATTAGTCCACAGAAAGAATTCAATGAGACTTCCTTTCATCTTAAGGGAATGGGAAACAAAACCATCTCTCCTGATGATAGCTGACACTGCATCACCCCAGTGCCACAAAAACTGCAAAAGAGCACGGAGGCCGTCATTTTTGAACAGAATCTTGATGATACGGCAAGCAGGTCTGGAAACTTGCACCTGAACATATTAGACTTTTTCATTTCCCATTGTATCCAACTTCACCAGTGTCAGAAAGTAGATTAAATGTACAAAGATATAGTGTGGCGACAGCATATTAGTGTAAGAGCAACTTCCATATGAAGGTTTTGTGCATTGCAAGACACTGATCGGTAACACAAATGTCACAAGTTCAATTCCAAAAACAGCTGTAATTGAAGAAGATACTTAACGTCAATCTAATTGTTCATGTTAATTAAATCTACAGAAAAAACATGTTCAGAACGGGTCAAAGGCTTGGCCTGTGGTGTTGCTGCTTGCTGCTTTCTCGAGAATCTCTCATAAAGACAACATCACATTCAACAGTGCCCAATACCTTCCATTACATAGTTGCATCACACATCCAAGAACAACAAACAATCAAGTCAGAAACACGGCTGAAATACTGTACACACTGGTTCACGGGAAGAAAAACAGGGGCCAGACTTTAGGCAAGGCAGACACCGTGGACCTGGGCCGTCCAACAGCTATAAATGTATCATATTTAGATATGAAAAATATAAAATGGTGCTAATATTTTCAGTCATTGTACCCCAAAATATATTACAAAGCCCCCCCTCCCTCCCTCCCTCCCAAAAGCCCTTATATATATACAACTTAACCATATTGTGTACTTCTACTTCACAGGAAAACATTGTGCAAATACATTTACTGATGCTTCACCCCCGCTGCTGAGCGCTGTTTACTTCTTTATTTTATGTTTATTAATGTTGAACGTGTCACCTGTAAAAACTGCATCAAATTCGACACTGCACTCCCTTAGGACCCAATATAGGGAAGTAGAGATTGAAGTAGATCAGATGAGCTGTTTTGGAGATATGCAAAGACCAGACAGAGATTCCTTGATCCTCGATGATGTGTGTGTGACAACAAACGGGTGAGTCGGTGAAAGTTCCATTGCGGTGTGACGAGTATGTCATGGAAGTAAGGATATGTGACTCATGTCAAAGTTCTACATGTTGATGATGGAGGAAACAGTTGTAACTCTTTTGTTTTCATAAAGCAAAGTGGGTAGCACATGTTTAGTTTAGCTGATTTACTTGCCATTAAGAAGTGATTACCACATTCATACCACAGCTGCCCACTCTCTTTAAAACATTTCTCCAGCAGCTTTCATTCGATTTTGGCAGAAAACAATAGCCGTCAAAATCCTTACGGCAGAATCAAAACTAGCATCACATTGATCAGTCAAGTACAATAACATCTCAGGAGGATTTTGGCAAGGAATGAATGAAAATGAAGTGGAGCAAGGCACATTACCCTGAATCTTCCCTGGTGAAGACATGGATCAGGGTTATGCTAAATTGTGCCTCTGTGTTGTGTTAAAGAGGGCACAGCATGGGGAAAAAGGGGATGCATGTTCAGTAAACATTCTCTGAATCATTAAATGCACCTCTAATCTGCTGTTTGACGTGAACCCTTTTGTCCCCACAGACCCAGTTAGTGAACCCAGACATACGCAATTTTGGAAGTTAATTTACCTTACACAATCATTTTGAGTAAAACTCTGCAATATTGTCACATTAGTAAATGCCTGGTTTACATACTGTTGTTGATTGATATAACACAATAGTGTTTCCCAGTTCAGATAAGGTTTTTAATCTGTTGTTGTAGTGTCTGGCTGCTCTTTCCCAGCACGTCCTCTACTTATTCCTAGGCATACAGGAATGAATAGAGGAAGAACTGGGTAGTTGGTATGAGTAATGATAATCACCACGGCTGAGGAGAGGCAGAAGAAAAGAGTGCCAGGCTCTACAACTCAAACTTAATCAGAGAATTACAAGGAAGACGCCACACTGTTTTATTCATGTCTTAGAAGTGCCCTGCAGAAGCACCAAATGCTAAAAGCAATGATGCTGTGAGACTTAAAGAAGAAAATGTCATATGAGCGTGAGACTTTTGCAGATAGATGCTTTTCCCACAATACTACAGACTGAATCCCTTCTGTATATAACTGGGAAAAGCTCTCACAGACAGCTAAATGACGGGATGCATTATTTGTTTTGACTGTGTTTGTGTGTGTTAGGATGAGAGCAATCCATTTGCCTGACTTTATTTTCTAATTTAAACTAATTTTGGGTTTCAATGCCAAGTGCTGCTACAGACACTTCCACACATTCATCAGATTATGACGACACTTGTCCAAATATCACCCTCGCTACTCAAGTCAATAGAAATCCAACACACGATGTAAGTTTTAAGGCTAGAAGTCTGCGATAAGATAAATGTACATGAAATCAGGGATTTACTGATATCCTTTCATCACATATGTCTAATCTGCTCCACACAGTCTTATTGGGATTTTCATATACTCCTGATCTGCTGTGAATAATGAGGTATCTTTACAAGATGGTATTGATCCAGTAAACTTGTGACTATGGGGTATTCACTTTTCGGCACAGCAAATACTGCCACTCTGTGTTCCAAAGCAGACGGTGCTGCTTGAGATTGCAGCTCCGCTCTGCTCCACACTGCTCCAGAGTCATTCCACACTGCAAAAAGTAACAGTGTTCACTGACTTTTTTATTTCACCTTAAATGCACATTTATCTTAAACCATTTGAAAACCACCTGTTTGTGGGCTAAATGAGTATAATTCAAGCTATTTTAATGCTATGTCATTCTCTTGACACAGATTTAGTTATTTAAAAAAACAACTGTAATTTATTTTAACGTGTGTTATTTCTGTGAATCAAGCTTTAAACATTGCAAAAAAGTGAAATTATCACATTCCAACTGAAAATAAAAGATAAACCAATACATATCACCACATTAGACTATATGCTATAACGTTAAATGCTATTATATAACGTCCGACTCAACACTGTATTTGAAGATGGCTCTTAAAGTTTGTAGCTTATTGGTTCTACTGTGGTAAAAAAAAACAAGATCTGTACTCTGTTGTTAAATCAAATTGTTTCCTACTTGGTCGTACAAAGATTCAATTCAGAAAAGGTTCTTGATAACCCTGAAATAAAAGCTGGACCCAATATCACTATATTGTGCTATAAAAGAAGTTGTTCAGATTCTTTAAACCACTAAGGGGATCTTAAGCCTTTTGCAGTACATAATCTTTTTCAGAGAGATCATGTAGCACTAAAATAATTTAAGAAAGACTGTGATACCACCTCACTATAAAGAGTTGTATTCTGGATATTTATTGTGCAGTAAAGACGGTAGGAAACATATGGGACATTTACAATTCTTATATTGTGGACTGACATTGTAGTAGTATTATTATATGGTTCAATTATTTTCCGAGTGCAGCCATAACATCATAACTAATACCTAATTAGAAACCTGATAAAAATTAGGTTAATGACCTAATGGAGCCCTAATCAACCTCCTCCGATTGTGTTGGTGTGTGCGGGTTACTGTCGGGACAGATTGACACAGACAAACACACGCGTTTTCAGTACAAACACGCATCATGGTGCCTCAGAGAAGCCTCAGCATGCGTCTGTGGTTCCACTGTGAGTACCTGGTGCAGTGCGACAGGTCTGAATGGCACCCAGATATCTCCAAGAACCACAAAACAAATCCACAGATCTCATATGAACTAATGATAACGTCATTCCCAGCGAGACACATTCGTAATTCCTTCATAATGAGGCTCCTTTTTTAAATGTGAATCATGTCTGTCGTTTGAACCATCAGATCCATTTACCTTTGAATGTACCATGGTGGTAGATGTCATCGCTCTGCATGAAGTCAACTTTCCAGTAGCCTCTTTGCGCACGGATAATCTGATACACGATCTGTTTCTTTGTATCACCGCAAAAAATCGCAAAATCTTTTCTTTGTGATAAATAAATGCACATATTTTTTATTTTTTGAATGCCATTTCACTTGTTCAAGATGTGTTCAAGATGTGTTCAAGAAAGTCTTCGAAAATGACACTTGATGATATAATTCCCTGGAATATAAAACATAAATAATAATATATTCTTTTTATTCCCGTGGCAGAATTTTAATTCTCCTGCAATGAAGAAATGTCATCCTCACTCTCACAGTAGAATATTTGACAGAGCGGTTGGCATCTAATGAGTTATTCCTCTGCCAAAGTCGCTCTTCAGCTCTTGACGCGCAGTCTTTGAAACTACCTTCGATTTCAGCCGCTGCATCTCAGCCAGAGGTCTGAAAGTAAAAAAAAAAAAAGAAAAGGGACATCTCATTTCCTCCATAGCACCGATGACCGGAGCTTTTATCATTACGGCTAATTAACCCCTGGCATGACGTGCTAAGAGGCAGGTAGAGAAAACAGGGAGTTGGCGAGAAAGGAGGACCATTACGCAGGTTATCATGACATCACCACGGGCTGGCTATAAAGCGGTGAGGACCAATACACAGAGTTAGAGAAGCACTTGAGGAGCTTTGGAGTAAAGGACGGACTGAAGCCTCTTAACAGCTGATTGGTTGCTGCTACCGTCTCTTTTTCAGAACTTCAGCGCAGCGGAATCCTTTAAAGAATACAAGACTCGGCAAAATGAACTTGTCATACTTGGTAGCGTGTGGACTTATGGTCACCCTGCTTTCAGTGAGGATGGGGGCAAAACCTGTATCTCAGACGCAACAGAAGGTAAGAATAAGTCACTTATATTCTTATTGCTGAGAACTAAAGGGTATTTGCTTCGCTCTATCAACCGTTGGGAGCTGAATGCCGCTGCAGGAGTGAGCAGCTGCTCTGTGGTCCAGACGCGCAGGACTGTTGTTTTACGCATCATATTTCATAATTTCAGTCATTTTTAGCAATTCAGCAAAGGCATTTTTTCCACACCCTGAATCTAAAACATTATAGCAAATCGGCTTTATATCACTTTATTTTATAAAGAGACAGCATATTTTATATCAATTGATCCGATATAGACATCATAACTACGGTCTTTTGCTCCCCAACATTTGACATTTAGCATTTAAGCGCCCAATGAAGTAATTTGACAAGACCTCCAAATAAGAAAAAAACGAAGCATTTTAGCAGAAACTATTCAAATTAAAATATGTGGTTTAAGCAATATAAGAAGCTCATTTACATGATTAGGATTTTTATTATCAACTTGGAATTGATGTTTTCTAATTTCTTTGCCAAATTAAACTACACCAATCTCAACGTGTTTATGCGTAAAATAACCATTACGCATAGAATTTGCCTGTAGAATAAAACCGATAATTCATACGTTACCATTTTAAATCAAAGTTTTAGTTATTAACTTAGATGGCACAATTTGGAATGGCTCCAAGTTGATGCCACAGCCTGCCTTCAGAGCAGAGGAGCGGGCTGCAGGCACCTGTCTTATGACTCCTCACTGAAGGCATCAGCAAGGTCTGAAATGCCATTATTGACCTGTCACCTAGTGAAAATGAAAGTGCAGAATCCTAACTACATTGATGGTGTCCTTTGAATTAAATAGCTTTAGCATCTTGTGGATCTATTTGAAAGTTGCTTTTTGATTAGACAGTACCACTATCCAACACAATTAATCCTATAGCGCCATGCGTAAAACATGGCAAACATTATACATGTTCTCCCTTGGCCAATGCACACGGTGTTTGAAAGAGCTTTAATACGCACCACGTTGAGGTTTCCACCCAATTTAAACAGTTGCTCTGCTCAAAGAGGCACCAAGCATGTATTGTTATATGATCAAAAGAATATCTCTTTGCACAAGGCATTTGATTAAGGGAGACGTGGTTTATTTATTTTTTTCAATCTGTGTTCCAGTCTCTTAAAAGTTTGCTGGGCGAGGAGCTGGCAGAGTTTCTGGAGTCGGAGGAGAGGGAGAGGCGGCTAGACGCTGTGCGCTCTCGGATACGGTTACTGCGAGATTTACGCATGGACACCCGGGCCAGAGGGATGTGGGCTCGTCTCCTTAACGACCAACCTGCACCGAGGAGAAACAAATCTGGAAACAAGAAAGGGGGTTCCACGTCACGGAGTGGCTGCTTCGGACACAAGATGGACAGGATAGGAACCATCAGCGGCATGGGTTGCTAGGGTTGGAGCAGCGCTATTATGGTGAGTTGTCTTCAAGTCATGGTCCGCCTCACACTTAGATTCACTGCAGCCTAACGACATGGCGTATAAACAGAACCACAAGGACAAAAGGGGAATGTATTGGAGTAAGGAGAGAATGAAACAATGAGGGCAAAAAGAAAAACAATCAAGAAAGTGTAATCAAGGGTCCAGTTTATGGAAGGATGGTGTAAGGGGATGTAAAGACAGTAGGAAGAAATAATGGATAATATGAGGACAGAAAGAAGGAAAGCATTTATGTTATTTTCTCTTTTGTCAATGGTCATCTATGGACTCCATTTAGGTGACAGATGGGAGGTTTTCTATTTCATCAAAGGTCCTTTATGGGTCTTGAGTTTTGCTGCAGAATGGACAGATCGAAGGGAGAAAGAAAGGAAGGAAAGAAAGAAGGAAGGAAGGGAGGGAAAGAGAAAGCAAGCAAGAAAGACAGAACAAACAGAAAAGATGTTCAGGACAGATGTTCTTGACGGTTGTCTCAGCACAGCGTATGCTTTGCGTCCACGGTTAGGCCAGTTTAGAACAAGCATCCAGTCTGAGTGGCAGCCATATCGAGGATAGCAAGTGGAGAGTGATGGCCATACATGCTTGTATTCCGTCAGGCGATGAATTGACAGTCTTGGCCAAAGGTCAGCTTGATGTAAGAAATCATATTAAACACAACGCATTCTATAACTGTTTGCCATTAACCTCAGCTGCCTGATGGACTTTTCATTGTGAGAATACTTGAGATAATATTAAGAGAACATGATGCCTCAAACTTCTGAAGTCATCAAACCTTGTCCTAGTCTAGCAGTGTTCCCTCCCTGGACATGAACCCCCTTAAGACAGCAGGAAAGCCCACTTAAACTGATGTCAGCTGATATATGGGAAACAATCCAGTTGGTATATAGAAAGTCCACTCTTGTATTCATGCACATCATCATAAATGATCCCATCTGCTTCATCTAGAAAACAAGTAGCATATATCAAACGAGGAGAGCGAGAAATGGAGGGAAGAGGGCATACAGACAGGCTGACGCACACACATTGTAAACACACGGCACCCTGCGGTGGCCAGGATCTTTCTGGGAAACCTGCTCTCTTTACCCAAGTGATTTTAACAAAAACAACAAAGGGGGCTGTGGTAGTGAATGAGAAATGAGGAAGCGAGGTGACGCACAATTAGTCCTTAGGCTCAAAGCCTTTTTTTTGTGGTTGTGACAAACTGTGAAATCCTCATGGGGGAGTGTGATTTTGTGACTAACTTGAGTGAGTGTGTGTGTGTGTGTGTGTTTCATCAGCTGACACTCCCTCAGTGGGCTGCAGTGTATTGTAAATGTGGAAGTCTGTGTTAGATATGTGTTCATTGAGGTGAAAGTCATGGCAACACTCGACACGTTGAGAGCCATTGAGAGGCAATCGAAATGCTCCCGATCTTCAATCTTACACCTTTAAAAAACTGACAAGTTCATTTGGAGATTCACAGACTGATGAGAAAAGTGAGGGCTACATTGATGAATACATGGTCGATAAGCACTGCAACTTTGCTGAATAAATGAAAAATTGTAGTTTGCGAATGCTCAGTCTAAACTTACTTCTCCTGTTTCCTCTCTTTCTCTAGATCTCTGGACGATTTGTTGGAAAACAACGGTTCAGTTTGTTCTCACCTGAGGGAGAAAAGAAGAAAAACTCACCAAGTGACAGATTTTCGGTACGAAAGTCAACACGACCAGCATAAACAAAGACTGAGATGACGATGCTACAAAACCCTCATATCAATTTATATATATATATATGATAAATATGCAGGTTTAAATACATATATACATATGTGTATACCATACAAATGGTCAACTGATGCATACTACAAGACGGCGGACGCTAGTGTAAAAACTACAAACCGCAAAGGCTGTATATTGTTGTTGCTGCTGCTGTACATTCATGTACTTCATCTTTCCCTGCATAAATGTATTTATGTTTTAAAAACTATTTATATGTTTATAAAAAGAGATATTTATAAATATGAGTTTTATTTATGTAACATTTTGAAAATGGATGCAAACTGCAGGTCAATTCTGTTTGTAACTTTTTTCTTTTTGTCTCAAATAGTTGTAAATGTTTTCAAAGATGATAAAAAGAACATTCCATGTGCACTTACATGTATCCTCTCGGGGTTTTATGTTTCAACGAAGTTGGTCAATTCTAGTTACTGAACATTTTCTGCACGGCTTGCAGGCAAAACAAAAGCGGTATTTTGGATATGTCTGCTTGGGCTAAGAAAAAAGCTGCCATATTTTCAGCTTGACCGCCATTTATTTATATGCTGATCAGATCATGAAAAGGTTTCACGAGCAGCGAGTGTACACCAATAGGGGACCGGCTCCTCACAGAGTTGGAGACATATTACCCTTATTAGGTGGCACTTTTAAAGTTGGTGAAGAACAGTCTAAGCTTTTTTTAAGCAACGTAAGGTACCATACAGACAAACATTAGAAAAGAAAATTGAAATATGACTTTATACCATTACATTGCATATTCACACTATGACATATAGTGATTTAGAGTGAGAGCAATAAGGTTAAATTCCAAAATCCATGGGCCAAAGCCTCAAAAGCAGACATGTTCACGATGTCCCCTGTAAAGTAATAGCATCCAATGCAATATGACAGATATCATGGTTGGATTTAGGGGGCAGAGGAGATGAAGATATTCTTAAAGCAATACGTTTTCAGATGTTGTTGCACTAACTCTTGGGACGTGGATGAAGGTTAAACCTTCACTTTCACAGCTTTATTAAGTTTTATGATTATGGTAATTATACCAATCTTTATTAATATAGAATGCATCTTAATAAAGCAGATTTTCCAAAGTGAAAGGCATGAAAAGAAAACAGTAAAGCATACAGAAAAAGACATAAATATATGAGATATTCAAAGAAACAAACAAGCAACCCAAGAAAATGAGATGGAAACATTCAAAGGCAAGTCCATAAAAGTGTGTTTATGAGGAAAACGTGATAATGAATTCGCTATCCAAAGTTTCTGAGACAGGTTGTTCCACAGTCTTGTGGTATAATCACCCAGAAGGGAGATGAGAGCCAGAAAGGCCATATCTGTAGGTGCTGATTCTACTACCGAGGGAAGGAGTCAAATGTTGGTGTTGAATGTGTTTCACAGACTTGTTGTATACCACCCTTCATGACAAGTGTAAGCTACTGTGGTCACCTGTGGATCGGAAAAGTTGAACTAGTACAACTCAAGTCAGGGTTGCAAGGCCTGCACACTACTGTAAATGTGTCTATGGCAAAATATATATAGTCCAAATAGTTTTCAGAAAAGCTAATCAAACTTACTTAAACGTGATGTACAGAATGCAAAAGTGCTCATGACTTGCACTACTATACTCCCACACTGCAGGGCAGCAGAGGGCCGACGGAAATGAAGAAGAATGAGACGCACCTGTTGCACACACCCGTATACGGGTTTTATTCAGTGCAATCTGAAAGACATGTCACTGACAGATAGCTGTACAATGATACTCTGTATAATGGTCAGTACAGAAAACTGTAACACTGAAGGGTAAGTGCTACATTTCCTCTGAAAAACCCAAAGGAAACACACTCACACCTTAGTCGGTGTTCAAACTGCAGGAACGCTGGTCACAAAAAAACGGATAAAGGGAGCATTGTGCAAAACATGATAAAAACTGTCAAACACAAATAAAGGCACTACACTGAACTGCTGGATGGTCTGACCTAAGATCCTAGGATGAGTCTATCTCAATCCCTGAGCTTTCTATTTGATGTCCCTGCAAAACAGCATAGGTTAACAGTTGCAAGAAAATATCTTTGTTCATTCCTTCAAATCCAGCATAGTTGAAAGACATTAATCGAACGAGTGACAGTAACAAGACTGAAAACAGACGTTGTGTTCAATAGCCAGGTGGAATACATTTCAAACATCTAAAACAGTGTCGGATTTTGTGTTGAATACACACTGAAACATGAGGGAACTGAAATGCTGAAACACATGACTGAGGTTGACTGCATGGTTCCTAAATTATTTTATCTATACTCTAACCTCAACCAATCTGCCATGAATCAGAGATTGTTTTATTCAGGTAACTATTTTAATTAAAAAAAATATGACATTGTGTATGCTTGTAAAGAAATATGTTATTCCAAGCCAAGCTTTATTGGAAAATGAGTGTCACATTATGAGCGGACTGTCAAACAAGTCCAGCATATATATGTTGCTGTGGATGTGCTGTTATTGTCACTGCAGTTAGTGCATGAGATATGACAGAGATGGGGAATGACATGCAACAAAGGTCCAGCTGGACACAAACCATGGTCCACAGCCTAACCCCTAGGCCACCAGGAAACCCTGCATTTTATTACATCTTTACTCGTCTTTTTAACATTTAAATAAAATGAAGTATGTGTGATCATTCCTACCCTAATACCTTCAGTGTGTTGAAAAAAACATTGTAATTTTCATTCAAGGATGGTTTTAACCCTCCTGTCGTGTTCGTTTCTCCCCCCTTACTTTAGTGTTCCCGGTCAAATTTGACCGGTCTGTTTTAACTGCTCTTACGTTAACACAAAAAACATTAATCATCACCAAATTTTATTTAACACCTTTTTAAGCTGTAAACAATGTCTCAGACTAGTGGTTTATATGAACAACTGCTGTGAATATACACAGAATAGACACTGAAAATGTATCGCTAAATTAAATGAAACTGTTGTAAGGACATTGTTGACCGGAATATAGGCCTCCTGGACTCCGCATCCCACAGACTTTTTCTAGCCTCGTTGTTTGACCGATATACTCCTGCTAAAATCAACAGAGCCATGTAGGCTTGGAGGTCTGGTCCAATGCTCTCCACGTGTCCACAAACACACGCCTCCCCTCCAGGTTTGTCATGTAGTGGACATGACAAACCAGGGCCAACACGATATGCAACATCTCATGTGGATGACATCAAGTTTGGTGTCAAGCCGGACTTGACGTCATCCACATGAGATGTTGCATATCGTGTTGGCCCTGGCGTCATCCTTATTATGTTTTCAATTCTCTCTCTGCCTCCTCTGTCCTGGGAGGATGAATACCAGAGCAAGACTGGAATGTCACCTGAGGTGCCTGTTCCTCTGGTGCCACTTCCTCGCCATCTGTTGACTGGTCAGTCTCATAATAGTCCGGATCGAAATCAGGATCAATGTTGTCTTCAATTTCTGAGACATCTTCCTCTATCTCCGGTTCAATCGCTTCATCTGGTTCAAAAAGTAGGTCCAGAGCCTCTCTGACAGAAAATCGCCTCATCAGTGGCCTACTCATTGTGCTCACAGAGTAAAATGAGAGCGCGGCACAGATAAAGGTTTATTTAGGGGGAAAGTGAGAAGCTATGAAACATTGTTTAGTCTCGAAGGTGTGGTTCACGTGGGGGGATGGGCACATAAACACGGTATAGAGATGGGTTCCCATAATAAACACCTGATTTTTTGTTTGAAGTTTGAAATGTGTACAACTTTATATATGGGGCTGTGAACAGGTGTTTACACAGGTGTGTGTGTATGGGAGGAGGGGTGGTTGTGGGTGTGTATGGGGCTGTTTTCCATCTGATGAATGGACATAATCTAGTGTTTCCCATTCATTTCCTATGGCGGTCAATTTTGACCGGGAACACCATGGGTGTTACAAAGTTGACTAAACCACTGAAAATTCAATAAAAGTGGTGATCAGCAATTTGATATGTTCAAATGCCTAGTGTGGAGGATATCATGAGGCCTTGAGGTAATCAGATGTAAAACACAATATTTATGATCGATTAAAGTTGTAAATCGGTCAGATTTGACCCGAACACGACAGGAGGGTTAAACCAATTGACTATGGGCGAGTTGTAAACAGACAGTTGATTATAATGCAGAGCAGGGAACAAGAGATAAGAAACACAGAATACACTTTTGCTGAACACAAATGTCTGAAAAGTGTCAGAGAGCAATGTATGTTGTTAGACAGGTAAGGTAACAGACAGTTATTAAGGTTTTCTAAGCTTGCGATGCTTTTCACCAGAGTCCGGATCAGTGACAAGTAATCATTGTTAAGTGTTTTGTAGAAGTAAAAAAGTCTACAAAACAATCTACTATAAAAGACAACTCTCCAGGTGATTTTCCCTCAGAAAAATGTGTGCAAAAAAATAAAGAGTTAAAATGTCTTTTCAGTTAAAAAAAAGAAGAAAGCTAATGAATGAATGAATAAAACGAAACAAAGGAGTTGTATAACCCCCCCACTAATGAAATTATGGGTATATCTTTATTTAACTGTGAGACATTAAGCTGGAATGGAAAGGTTTTCTTCAGGCACCGCTCTGTGAAATAAGTGAGGGATTTAAAACGCAATGCTGCCTCTGTGTGGTGTTGAGGGTTAATTACTCAAATGTGCTGTTGGTGTCCCCTGGGAATCAGTTGAGTTTCAGATGCTGTTGGCTACATCATGTAGTACACATATATAGTGCTTCAAAGGAAGACCGTGTGGTATCATCAAAGGTTCTAGAACAGCTAAGGGTCTTGTGGTGAGATGTTTTTTCATCTGCCATGGTCAAGAGTGAACTTTCAATATTTACATTGAAGCCCATATATACTCTAGAAAGATGAGAAGTCCTTCAAGAGCTCAAATAGAAATTTGAACATCTTCAATTCCATGATAACTTGGCAAACTCCATCTGCTGGAGAAGATTGAGGGTACATTCAAAAGCTCCAGAACTGCAACTAAACAGACTTAATGGGGTTTTGTCAACTAGGCCTACTTCAATGTTTCTCCTTCCTCATTATTCTTGACTGATATCAGACATAATTGTCGAACTCGGTGGAGAAGGCAAATTCAAAGGTCTGGACCCAATATCCATTCTGCAGCCCACATTTGTTATCTTAGTTTCTTTATTTATCATTATTATAATTATAATAATAATGCTGATCTTTTGCTGGACTATAAGCGTTAATACCACAAATTAATAGCCCTGCGTTTGAAATATACTTCTTATTACCTTGACTTTTATTAATTTGTTTAAAGTACTCAAACCAGCAAAAGCAGAACTACTCCTTACGAACATCATACAGGCTGTTTCTATTTCTGATGCATTAATGAGGCAGATGTCATTGTTGATCGTGGTCGAGCTGGAACTATTCAACCTACATTATACAGTTAAGTAGTTTAGGCTAACCTTTAACAATACATCATATGTAATGATATGTGAAATCTTAATCTGCAAAGCAACTGGTAACTGTATTTCAAATCAATGTGTGCAAGTTAATCTCCTGTTGAATAAACTAACGTTACTTGACAAGAAGCAAACCTATACAGCATGCCATACAGCAGCATAAAATGGAAGTACTCGAGTATTAGGCTGGGCTACCTCAAATTGGTAAAGTAGCCCAACGTTATCTGAGTAAATGAAGTTGCGAGTAAACTGCTCGATGCAACTGGTGCTCCGCATGGTGTGCTCCATGTGGTTGATCAATGATGGCAACTGGCCCAGACCACGTGGCTCACATAAACAGCTGCGTGGGACATACAGATACTCTGTACTGTGTGGCCCACACAGTACAGGCCATACAACATATTTACCTGTACCATTTATGAAATAGTCGACCATTTATTTCTCTAAACATTTAAAGTTAATAAAGTTAATACCTTTATACTGTATCCCTTTAAATTCAGCGTGACATAGGCCTAGTGTCTTCAGAGACAAACGATGCTTTAGCAACAACACATTACCAAAGTAGTTGTTTAGGTAGTTCAGGTATGTATTCATAGGTACCGATAAAAATGGTTTACCTCTGTGTTAATACATTTTGTGGGCTGTCTGTGGAGGCGATGCGCGGGCACGATGCAAATAATCTACCCGTTGATTGGTGGAAACAGTCATGTGATCAGGTCGCCGCGAACGCGCAGAGCAGGAGAGTAACGAGCGCGGCTTCCACTTCTCTGTCTTTCCTGCCCAATGTCCCACCGAGTAGGCTGAGCCACGTGTATGCGTTAGCAATTCCGTTACTTGTCTCTAAACGTCCAGTTCTTTGTGTTTCACTGAAACACTCGACAGCACAGCGCCATGGTGAAATTAGCGAAGGTAAGACCAAGTGGCGCATATTTGACTGTTTAAAGTGTTTGCGTTTGTGGTCGAAAGCTCTGTTGTTACGCGTGAGGCCTTTGCGAATAAGTTGCTGCGTTTGTGTGAAAAACGGAAACGACACCGGGGGGAAATTTCTCGCTGGTATTGCATTATATCGAGTAATTACACAGTTACTGAAAGACTATGTTTGGTCTAAAATGCACGGTGAAATTGAAAGCCATCTAAACATTTCATCTAGTCCGAGATCGGCCATGTTTGTACCCATCTTTTGGTTTTGTGGCCTTGCCTGCTAACGGTTAACGCTACCGAGTACTCAAAATGGCATTCATGCGCGTTCTCAATTTTAAGCATAGATTTTAAGAGATGCATAGAATACGTATTTAATGTTAGGACGCAAATGCTGGGTAACTAATATCAACATTTACTAATTATTTGAAGATGCGAAATGTATGTACTGAGCTAGCTAACGTGTAGTGAATTAGCGCTAGCGTGTTGTTTTAATAATCCAAATGCAGAGCCGTAGCGCAAGTTTATTTCCTTCGACTTGTCGGCACGACGGCTAACTTGTGGTTCACCTTGCTTTAGTTAACATAAATCGTTTGAATTTACGTGTATTGCCTTTCCTCGTGCAGACGGGTTTCTTTATCTGCTCAGCATGTGCTTAAGAGCCCGTCTCGAAAAGGCAGAATTAGCTAACATGCTAGCAGCCCGACCTCCTGAGCTCCACGTGGGTTGTGCGCCTGCTCGGTGTGACACACGAGGTGGGGGAAAAAAACCGAAACCGAGAGAACCAGATTACCGCTCAGACATGTGGCGATTACTAAACGCGGCACATGTTTTACCCACGCAGATCATTTTTACAGTGATTTAAATAATTCGTTTTCGCGTTAACTTTGTAACCGATGGTGGAAACCCCCAATGTTACTCAGCACGCGGAGACCGGATATACGGGGTTTTGTCTTGCGCTAAATCTGTGATTTGACTGGTACAATCAAATTTGTGATTTGTTTTTTATGTCGATTATTTTCCCTTTTGTTTCAGGCAGCCAACAAGCAGGCAACTCAGAAGAAGAAAGCCCCCCCACCCCCCAAAGAAGTGGAGGAGGAATCTAGTGAAGAGGAGAGCAGTGAGGGGGAGGAAGAGGTACATTTAATCATGTAATATTCTTTACCGGGATGTAAAGTAATAAAAAAAATGTAGATTTCATAAATATTTTTCTTTATTCCAGACTCCGCCCCCTAAAGCGGTAAAGAAAGCAACACCAGCGAAAGCTACCCCAGTTGTTAAAAATGGTGCTGCCGCCAAAAAAGCAGAAAGTGATGCGGAGGATGATTCAGGTAAGCATCAGAATTCAACGCACAGTTTAGGATGTTTAGAGATTTAAAAAAAAAAACAATATAAAAAAAGTCCATTAAGTAGCTGTTCTGGGGCTTTGATTGTACAATATTCATCAGAAGCAGCCTGTATGCGTCACACGAGTCTGCTGAAATTTTCCAGCTTATAGAAACTAAAATAAATAGAAGATATAAATCAACATTTTTGGTGAGATAATGTATGTGTGGGCTGTCTAAATGTTGGTTTGCAAAAATCTCCACTTATTGTTAATGATGGGTAGTTACAATCTCATAATAAAGTTAACAGGAATTAATACTCAATTAATTCCAGGGAAAACGACAATGATATCATGTCTGTACAGAGTATTGGTCAACTCTGAGCACTGTTATGCTTTGTTGACCAACAGAGTCTGAAGAGGAAGCCCCCCCACCAAAAAAGACCCCTGCAAAGGGTAAACCCAAGGCAGCTGCTGCAAAGGCAGAGGAGTCTGATGATGAGGAAGATGGTAGGACCTTAAATGTTGTATTGCTGGTGTTCTTTGTAACATTTGTTTATTTGTAATGACTTGTTTTCTGAAGCTAAATCTTAATGCACCAGTTCATCATATAATTGGGTTGAATAATTCCATTTGGTATACTAAATATTATATATTGTACCACACCCTCCATTTCTTGACACGCATGTGGTTGCTCAGTGCCCATGAGTGTAATGTACGGAGGAACAATAAATGCAGTGCTATGTCTTCGGTACCGGTGTGTGTTATCGTCTGCCGGTTCTATCCTCAATCGCTGTAACATTCTGGCCTTTTGTGGCTTTTGGTGGAATTTAAAGGGAGATTGTCTCTGTAGATTAAGATTATGTACCATGCACGCCCTTTTTTGTGAAAATTCATGATTCTTGTGTGTTGTCTAGATGAGTCTGAAGAAGAGGCCCCACCACCCAAGAAAGGAGCTAAACCTGCTGCCAAGGCCCCAGTGAAGGCTAAACCTGCAGAGTCCTCTGATGAAGATGAGTCCGAAGAAGAGGCCCCACCTCCCAAGAAGGCCGCACCAGCCAAAAAAGCTGGAAAGGCTGCCAAGGAGGAGTCTGAAGACGACGATGAAGAAGATGGTTAGAAAACCCTTTTCAATCCCTTCATTTTGAGTTTATCTGAAATGTTAGAGGTAGAAAGTCAATGTGGACTTTCTGACTTGTGTGCTGCAGTCATTAGAGAATATATGATGATCAACAAGGGACTTAATACTGATTTTGTATGATGTCACCTTTATTATGAATCTGATGTTGGCAGGTGGTCAGTGGTTGAATTTGGTCCCATTGACTCTGATAATAACTCGACAATGCTTGTGCTTCTCCAGAGTCTGAGGAAGAGATGGACACCACTCCCGCTCCAGCAAAGGCAAAGAAAGCAGGTATGGTCAAGGCCAAGGAAGACTCTGAGGAGGAAGATGATGACGAGGAAGACGACGACGACGATGACGACGATGATGATGAGGAAGATGATGGTGAGTTTTGGTGTTGAAAATATGAAAAAGTGGTTCGTCTGCCAAATTTTGGCCCTATCATTCTAAATGACACTCAATTTAATACACAAATCAATCCCCAGAGTATCATCTGTTTGAAGGCGCATTTATAGTTTCATTTAATTTTTAAATAAAGTAAATTACACCATGAAAAGATGCCATATTGATGAAGGCAACTAGAAACGGATACTAGTGTTTTTCAACTAGTTAACTGAAGCATGTTAAACGTGCCTTTAGTACGGTTTAACCCAATGTGTCTGTTCTGGACTTTATTCCTTTGTTTTGGTGTAATCGATGTCTGAATTGAACATTTTGCAACACTTGTGTCTTCAGATGCCCTAGCGACGCCTGCCAAGAGGAAGGCAGAGGGCAAGAAGGACACACCTGCTGCCAAGAAAGCAAAGGCAGAGGGCGAAGGTAGGAATGAAGCACTGACCCGTCAATCAAATGCAACATTTCATCATGATGATTAACAAGGGACTTAATTCTGATGTCTGATGTCACCTTCATTATTCTGAATCTGTCTGGCATAATTGCTACTGTTCAGTGTAAAATATCAAACTTGATTGTAATTTCTCTCATTTATTAGGGTTCTCTCTGTTTGTTGGAAACTTGAACTCCAACAAAGACTTTGATGAAATCAAAGAAGCCCTGAGGAAATTCTTCACCAAGAACAGCCTTGAGGTCGCTGATGTCCGGTTGGGTGGATCTAAGTAAGCGATCAATGAAACAATAGATCATCAGTACTTGTTTGTAATGCACAGATGTGTTTGTGGAATATCTAAACTCAGGGTTTAGTTAAATTGAGTGCTTACATATTCTCAAGTTATGTGATTGTAAATTGAATACCCTAGTGTTTTTTGCCTTCTGGTAGATTTTCTTTTCATATTGCAGACTTTGATATATTCTCAAACTGAAATCTTTGTGTAGATGCAACACAATACATTGTTTTAAACATTGCTTTCATCTCTTTTCTGTCTAATGACTAATGGCTCTTGCATGACTTGCTTCAACAGGAAATTTGGTTATGTGGAATTTTCATGTGAGGAGGACATTCAGAAGGCACTGGAGCTCAACGGCAAGAAGGTCATGGGTCAGGAGTTGAAGTTGGATCGGGCCCGAAGCAAGGACAGCTCACAGGAGGGCAAGAAAGGTAAAACAAATGGCTTTCATCTGCCGGTGTACGTATAGGAAAGTCAAACTGGGATGTTTCCAGGCAGTCAACTTGAGATATTTCTACATTTACACTTAAATTGCCACAAGCACCTCCATTTCTTGACACGCATGTGGTTGCTCAGTACTCGTGTGTGAAATGTACGGAGGAAAAATAAATGCAGTGCTATGTCTTCGGTACCGGTGTGTGTTATCGTCTGCCGGTTCTATCCTCAATCGCTGTAACATTCTTACATTTACCTTGAATATCCAAATTGTCTATTCTATCAAGACAAGTCTGAATTTTGGGGAATTAATAATTTTTCAGAATATTGAGAGGAAGCCAGCCCTAATACTGACATTGCCATTTGTTCCCACAGAGAGGGATGCACGGACACTGTTTGTGAAGAACCTTCCCTTCTCCGCTACTGTTGAGGACTTGAAGGAAGTCTTTGAAGATGCCGTTGACGTCAGGTTACCTCCAGGCCAGAACGGTTCAAATAGAGGGTAAGAAGAAGCCAGCTGTTAATAGAGAAGTAAATGTTAGTCTGGATGATGTTGCTAGGGAGAATATATAAGGAACACAAAGCTCCTTGAGTCCTAGAAGCTAACCTATGCGCATCCAAACTGTGATGGAAACACTTACCCATATCATCACAATTGCAAAGGCATCGCCATTTTGAAGCATCAACGTGTCTGGCTTTTGTTTTCCGGTACGCAAACCTGCCATTCATGACCAGCACTCAGTATGTCTCCTTATCGTGTTCTAGAGAAGTCATTTCTTTTTCCCTTTTGACAGCATTGCCTACATCGAGTTCAAATCTGAGGCTGAAGCCGAGAAGATGCTGGAGGAGGCTCAGGGAGCTGACGTACAGGGGAGGTCCATCATGGTCGACTATGTTGGAGATAAGAGCCAGAAAGGGGGAGCCGCGGGACCAGGTAAGCTCCTTAGACACCTTGTAAAGCTATGTATGAACATATCATTGGGATGAATAATTCCATTTAGTATACTACTTGTTACAGTCTAAGAATATTGTACCACACCCTCCATTTCTTGACACGCATGTGGTTGCTCAGTGCCCATGAGTGTAATGTACGGAGGAACAATAAATGCAGTGCTATGTCTTCGGTACCGGTGTGTGTTATCGTCTGCCGGTTCTATCCTCAATCGCTGTAACATTCTGGCCTTTTGTGGAATTTAAAGAGATTATGCAATGCTTGCTGTGATTAGAGCTGCATGTTTGTAGTAGGGAATCAGAAGCAAAGCCTGAATTAAGTGTTTCGTATTCATCTCACTGGTCTCCTGTCCTCTTCCTGTCCCTGTAGCGGCAGCAGCAGCCAGCAAAACACTGGTGGTGAATAATCTCTCCTTCACTGCCACAGAGGAGGCTCTACAAGCCACATTTGAGAAGGCCGTCTCTATTAGGATTCCACAGAGAGATGGCAGACCTAAAGGGTGAGTGTTTGTAATGTGTGCAAGGAGGGTTTTCCATCTTAGGACGGTCACTTTTCATCTCTAGAATCTCAAACTGCGGCACCTTCTCATGAGCTCCTCTTAATCTTACCCGTGATTTTGTATGGATTCGCACGAGAAGCAGAGTCAATGTACAGTGAGGCTGTACAGGCTCACCCTCCAATCAGGGTGTTTCTTATGTCTATTGTGCAACAAGTAGAATTTAGGAATCATATTATGCTGCCATTTTCTTTTAGGGCAGTGTGGTCATATTGCAACACCCAGTCTGGTGTGTTTACTCTCTCCTAATGGAATGCATCTTTTCTTAGTTTTGCTTTTGTAGAGTTTGAGACTACAGAGGATGCAAAGGACGCTCTGGACAACCTCAACAACACAGATATTGAAGGGCGGTCGATCCGACTGGAGTACAGTCAGAACAGTGGCAGAGACGGTGGCAGAGGAAACTCGGGTAGGTCTGCAGATGTTACCATGTGCGTCTGAACTGTGGTCTGTGTTGGGACATCCTAAAAAGAAACGGGTGTGTCAACATGAACCCCTGAAATTCTGTGACGATGAAGATAGTAGAGTCCTGATCTGGTCTTCTTCCCATGAGACTTAAGCTTGATGAAGGATTTTTATTTGTCCAGATTATGATCATTGTGGATCAAATCTTAAAGGTCCATGAAAGCCGTAGTTTTAATGATATCCTCTCTTTGCAACCAGGTCCAACAAAAACCCTCTTCGTCAAGGGTCTCTCTGAGGACACAACAGATCATACCCTCAAGGATGCGTTCGAGGGCGCCGCAGCAGCCAGAATAGTCACAGACAGAGAAACGGGGTCATCAAAAGGGTGAGTTTGGAGAATTGTAAATACTCCCTCTAGCCATTCGCTCTCCTCGTGAGGGATAGTGGATTCGCATGAGAAGTAGAGTAAATAAGTTTAACCGACCAGCTACGTCAGTGGGTGTTGCCCATGTCTGATGTGAACAATCAACACAATCATCTGCCTGATTGGAACTCAAAGTATTGTGAAAAACTATCCTAGATGAAGTATTGTATAATTTTACCAATTTGATCTGATTATTTAAGCCATCACTTTGTTTCATGTCAACATTTTAGCTATGCTGGTCAGAAATCTTCTTTTTTTTTTAATAGTTTACATGTTGAAGTATAACAAAGCCCGATCCTTCTGCCTCCCCTGCAGCTTTGGCTTTGTGGACTTTCACAATGAGGATGACTGCAAGGCAGCCAAGGAGGCGATGGAGGAGGGCGAGATCGATGGCAGGAAGGTGACCCTGGACTACGCCAAGCCCAAGGGTGAAGGCGGCTTCCGCGGAGGTCGCGGCGGTGGTGGATTTGGCGGCGGCGGCCGTGGTGGCAGAGGAGGTTTTGGTGGTCGCGGCGGTGGCGGCGGCAGCTTCGGCGGAGGTTTCGGCGGGCGCGGTGGCGGCAGAGGAAGAGGAGGCCCCCGTGGAGGTGGACGTGGACGCGGTGGCTTCGGAGGTAAAAGCTATTGAATCAAAGGACACCAGCTACTGTTTGGTCAGTTGCTAAATTATATCATCTTAAATTTCATTGTTTTCATAATCGATACCGTAAGGTGTTAATCAACTTAAATGTTTATAAAAAAAATTGCTTAGACTAGATCAAACTTTTTCCCTTCAGGGTCAAAGCAGAACGTTGTGAATATGTTGAGTTGAAGATGCCAAACAGTAAACTAAGTTTCCCTTTTGTCATTCCAGGTGGAAGAGGTGGCGGTGGATTTGGAGCCAAACCCCAGGGGAAGAAGATTAAGTTTGATGACTAAATCGTCTGTTTTACTTTTTTGAATGGACTCTGGTTTCATCACTTTTCAGAGCTTTTGGACATTCCAGAAAGCGTCATTGATATATATTTAACTGTTAATGGGCATTTTAGCCCTTTATTTAGACCCTCAAACCTTCCCCACCCGTGTGTGCCAGAATGGTACTTTTGACCTTCTCAGCTCGAGAGCTTTGTGAGTACTGAATGTCCCGAATGCAAACCTGCATCTCTCGCCCTCATTAGCTTACTTGTTTTTCCGAAGGAGTAAAATGGAACGGGTCTGGCAAACGAGTTTGCTGTGAAAAATACGCTTGTCTTTGTCAGATACATTGTGTAAATTTAAACAGTTTGTATGATTTCATTTTACCTTTTGTAAAAAAAAAACAAAAAACGAAAGATTCACTTGTATCCATATGTTTTGTTTTTATTTCGTCATTTAGTTTGCTTTAGTTGCCAAGTTTTACTGTAATGTGCAAAGCAGATTTTGATAGCAGATTTGAGTCAGTGGTCAAGAGTTGGGTGTTAAGAAAATGACAAAGATGTTCTGTCATGTTTGTTTGGTGGGGCACAGTCAGTGTCTGAGTCAGAGGATGAAAAACCTCTTGTCTATGTAACATAAAATATTTGTAGTGCATTGACTAATTTTTTATTTTTTTTTTCCCCCATTTGAGAATCTCCAGATTTTCACGTGATTAAATAAAACCTTGTAGGTGGTGATTTTTAAACGCCTGTCCTCATTGCACCTCTGAAGCATTGAATAAGTGAGCTTTAAACACCTGTGAATGTGGACGCTTCTACAGCAAATGCAATGCAACATAACATCACTGCAATAAATTCTAGTTTGAAGACTTATCAACCCGTTTCAACTCCAAATTCTGGAGACTGATTTATGGTGCTGTTAAATTGTATTGCATTATGTTGAAAGGTATTTATAAAGATGTTTGCTGAAATGATTAAGATGGGGTTATAATAAGCCTAAAATTCTACAACAATGACAGCTGTAATGTAACCTCTAGTGTTGGCTGTGATTCGTTAATGATGAGGCATCACTTTATATTGACTGGGAGGATAACTCCCACTAGTTTCCACAAGGTGGCAGTGTCTTGTTAGGTATCCTTCATTTGTCATGATTTCAGATGATGAGCTCTCTACATGGAACACTGCTGCACACTGTATGAGGACTTCAAATTACTTACTGTACATTCTGGTGGTTAGTAGCTCGTAGCTGGAAACAAAAGTTAAAGTGCATGAGTTTGAGAATCTTTAGAAACTTAATTTATTTTTTTTTAACCCTCAGTGCTTCTGTGATGCCACAGCGTGCTATAAAACCTCAGTATGATTTTACATTTTGGTAGTTTAGGAGTGAGTTTTCAAAGCGGATCAAAATCTGCTTTATTGGTTGAGTATCCTGAGGAATAAAACACATTTAACTGCAGTTTATGTAGCTGCCAGTATGCTTGCACAGTGCTGAGAATGGATGCACATAGACAACTAATTTAAACAATCACAGCATATATGTACTGGCAAGTGGGCGAAAAAGATGTATATATTCTCAATGTGCAATGTCTATATGCAGGTTAAACTGGTACTATAAAATCTTGTTGGTCTTGCATTCCTGATCAAAAACAAGGCCTTAGTGTGACTATCGGAGCTGCTGGGCAGGTCTCTCGTCAGTGACACTACCAGACGGGGGGCGGCAGCAGTATGCTGTCATCCCTCGGTCCTAGTAGCTGAACAGGGATCTTTGTTCGTGAAGGTGCCTGGGCAGGAGGCACTGATGATGGCACCACTGAATACCTCCATTTAGAGATGTGTTGCACAGTGACAGAGGTCATGTCAGCTGTCTGGTATGGCTGAGTTCACCTCTCTTTTTGTTCAGCTCATCTCATGTTTTATAGTTTCTGTCCGGTTTCTTCTTCTTGTTTTCCCTATTTAACATATCTAGCTGCAATTGTCTAATCGTAATTCATAGTGATTATATTAAGGAGAAGCTCTGTTAAAAGAAGTTTTTTTTCATGATATATATAAGCTGTGGGAGATAATATGACTGAGGTAATGATACAGCAAATTTGCCTTATAATTTGTTATGTCAAACATGAAACTTTATTAAATGAAGCCTTGACACTAAGTCACCCGGACACTGCGAGGAGGAAAGAGGACAAAGACTGATGCTTTCTCATTTGTTTAGTAGCTGATCTAATGTGACCCTCTTTAAATGGGAGTATACAGCGCAGAGTCCTCACAATGGATCTTTGTCAAGTACACGGTGTCCTATAGCACAGATGTACGACCAAGTCGCCTTGGCCTCTCTTCCAGTGTAACGCGGGGAGTCAGGGACTGCACTCTCTTTATCAGCTGAGTGGATATGCACATAATTCATCTACTTTACAAACACTTCCATTGTTTCCAGCATTCCCATTCTTGCAGATGGGGACGAAATAGTGGAAGTTAAATGAAAAGGGACCTTTATGTAGCCTCATGTTGTGCCAGTATTTTAATCTCAAACAAGCCTCACAATGGAAGTTGTTTGCAAAATATATTGTCGAATACCATGGAATCTGACATTTACAGTGATGATTACAGACATACAGGCATACCAGTGATGACCTCTCGGTTTTGGCCGATGAGATGATGTATTACCTTACTGTGCTGACTCAATGGTTCAGTATGAGGAAGTCGCATGTAAACACAGCCTACATTTACATGCCTTTAACATTTAAAACATTTTTGCGTTGACATCTTATAGCAGCTCGCCATGCAGGTGAGCTATTGGTTGTCACATGGTGTACACACACCTTCGGACACAGTGTGCACACACCTCGGGCTAACTGTGCCCCTGTTTCCAGTCTTTTTGCTAAGCTAAGCTAACCGGCTGCTAGCTCCAACTACAGATTTACTATAAAAACTCTCGGCAAGATAACAAATACACATGCTTTCCCAAAATGTCCAAGGAATATTTTAAGTGGGTGAAGGTGTTTCCCCGTTTCATTGTGCTAAGCTGACCTAAGAGGCTGCTTGCTGTAGCTTCGACTTTAGCAAACAGAAAGAGTGATATCCATCTTATCATCGTATCATCTTAATCTTGGCAAGTGAACAAGTGTATTTCCTAAAATATTAAACGTATTAGGATTGTTTTCAAGCATTATACTGTATATTGGTCGCAACCTTATTCTTCATTTGTAGTGAACGATATCAGTTTCCGCTCAGCCTCTCATTCCCCCATGTCTCATACACCGTTTTCTACTGTTTGTTTAGTTCTGCAAGCTATTGCTGTTTTTGCATGCTTGTATGCTTTTTTGAAAATAACATTATCCTATCCTGCAGACAGCTATTGGTTGTTATTTGTTTCTCAAATAACAAACAGACAAAGGTCCACTTGAAATTTGATGATTTACATAATCCACCCACTAAACTACACTAGACAATTGGATGTAAAATCACATTTGGTGATCTGGAACACTGTGTTTTTGTAAAGTGATCAGCAGCAATATAATTACATTAAATACAGTTCACATGATTTGTAATAGCTGAGATAACATGCAGGGCCTAAATGAGATGTTCTGTGATGCCTGAGCTGATAGAGAAGCTCTCGTCAGTAGCCTGTAAACTCAGGAATGTTCTTTTTAATTTCAACATTGATGGCGCTCTAAGAGGCCTTTGAAGAAAATAGAGGGCTAGTGTGAAAGCCTGCAGCTCCTTCCAGCCAACTCCTTTGACCACGCTGACATCAAAAGCTTCCTCCAATTAGTGTCGGCAAACAATCGGCTCCTGGTCTGCAGGCCGGTTGGAAAGCTGAGTGTGGGCTCTCATTCAGTCAAATATCCTCACTAGAGTGGGACATTTACACTAGATGACAGTACAATTTGGCTGGTGGTTGACAAGTTAATTCTTCCAGCCACATAGTCAGCGTTTTTTAGGCTGGGAAAATAAAACCAGAATTCGCCCCACGACAGTACAGCAACAATTGTGTGTCCTTTAATGTAACTCTCTGTTACTGGCACATCTTTTGGCTGTGGGTTTCAGGTTCCTCTCTACTTACAGGTTTTCCAGACAGAGCTTTGAGGAAGTGGGTGAGACACACATACAGTACACGCTTTTTTTTTTTTTAATGAGTTTACCTACAGTGGCACTACACTCAACTGTTAACTGACATTCATAGTGCACAATATCTGGGAAGAATGTCCTTTTATCAAACAAACAAAAAAGTTCTTAAGCTGCCACAAGTTGCAATCCAGTTTCAAAATAAAAGTACAATTTGGTTCCTTCTCACGAAGGGAAACACCTGTTTCTTTGAAGAATTCACTTCCACCAATAAATTACTTGTCACCCCAAATTTCACACCCTTATATCGCCAGTATCTTTACCCCCAGGACCCAGAAAAACAGAGGAAATTTGACCAATTGGCTTACAGCTGCTAATAATACAAGTACCCGAATGCTTGCTGTTGCTTCTGCCCCTTGTTCTGATTAATTAAACTGTCTCTGCAACGTTAAACCTCAATGGAAACATAATCTTTGACAGTGAACGATGTGGCCCACCACACTGGTGAATGAAAGCTGCAATAATAGAGATGATTAAGCACATTTTCTTGTTCATTGTGTTTAACGCAGGACAGATTAACGACATGAATCTTCTTCAGCTATGCTTCTGTGTTGGCAATTGCACCCCTCATGGAACACAATATTCAGAGAAGTTCCAGTTTCTATACGGTTTTCTTCTTTTTGTCCAGGAAGAGATTGTGAGGAACAACAGAAAGGTATTTGTTTTGTTTTGCCCCTCTTTGTCTTTTTTGGGCCAACTTAAAGCTCTAAACAATATCTTCACTGTTCCCTGCAGTATCAGTCTGAGCAGCTTTGCTCGGTATACTTAACATAAACAGTGTGAAATGTCACACAGAGTCGGGAGCATGTACAGTTGCTTTCTCAATTTCAGTACAAAATAGACTGTGGGTAGAAAATAAATATTTCCCATCCCCAAAATAAAAGATTTGTGTCACGTTTCAAAAAGGTTGTTCCGCGAACTTTCTAATGCAGCAGCCTTTTATATTAAAACATTGTAGGAATTACGGAAGTGAAGCTCTTTAACTTCTTCTCCAAGGCAGAGAGAGAACACGGAACACACTTGTGGCCTAAGTTGCTGAACATTGATGAAATGAACATTACGTGTCTTGTTTTGAGTACACCATTATTACCGTATGACTGTTTGAGCATATTATGCTTTCTTGACTGCTTAGTTGCGTAACTGATAACCACACGTCAACACTGGACACTATTGTTGGAACACCTGATGTGGATTTTCACATAGATGTTCGATGCTGATAACGGCCAAACACAAAAGCAACCGATCCGGGACAGAGTTTCAAAGACAACTGTACTGTCAAGAATTTTATTTACAAATGACATTGGATGCACATTTTGATTTTCATATATTTACATTACCTCGACATAATCATCACCCGCCACATCCACAACATTCAGCTATATAATCATTGAACATCCCATTAATATGCTCACCTGACGCTTTCAATTAAATACCCCCATCCCACATTTGCCCCCTTTTATTGGGGATTAAATTAACATGTCATATACTCGTACCAGCAATAGTTTTAATTCAGAGTGTCATTGTTTTTTTTCCAGTAGTGTTGAAGTGGTAGATGTCCAGATCAAGTCAGTCACATCCCCGCCCCCCAAAAAATGCCTCTATGTAACAAAAGTGATTCAAATCTTACTTCTATGTACTGCGTATGAAGATAATGGTTACACTTAGAGTAGAATAGGTGACCAGTGATGAAATCTAAATATTTGTTTGAGGTAGAGAGAGTTGTTTCATTCTCATACTCGATGTGAGGCCACTGCAGCATGCCATACTGCTCCGAGTGAAGGCAATGTGCAATGTGTGAAACTATGTAACACATAGAACAAACCCAAGATGGAGGCTAGGCAGCATGTGCAGTGGCTTTTGAACCCAACGCTTTGGCGCACCAACTAACAGTAACTGCCCTTTTATTTTCAAAATTAAACTAAACCAAACATAATTTCCCTCCAATTTAAATGCACATTATGCTCCAAACATAAATACATATACATGGTTCTGTTTGCTAATGATATTCATGATAATTTAGTACCCCACATTTTTGAAGTGTATTCACATTAATGGTCTCCTTAACGTTGTTGTCTCTGAATCTGCGTGCTGACAGTGTGAGTTCTTCAAAACGACAATATAAATACACAATTCTACAACTTTTACAAACTCTGTATAATTTACTTGACTTTTGAGAAAACTCTTCCAAAAAAACAGCAACATTTACATATTGTCTGTGGTCCCTCTCCTCATAAAGGAGGGTTTACCGGGCCTCTCATGCATCCTAGTATCCACAGAGGTACGGCTCAGCTCAAGCTATAGGATGTCCACTTTCTGCGAGCAGACAAGGTCACTGTTGACCAGATTCCACATGTGCATGAGGTCCGACGGGAGCAGCTTGTGCACCACGATCATGCTCTTAAAGAAACAAGGTTCTCGGTTCAACTTGCTGCTCTTATTTTTCACCAAGCCGAACGTCTTAAAGGCGTTGTGTTTTACAGGAGTGACCTGAAGCACCTCCAGACACATGCCCAAGAAGACGTCATCGATGGGGTAGAGCTCCAGGGTGTCTGCCACCAAGTGAAGCCTCCTTGCCAGGGTCCCATCCATCAGAAAACCCCCTCCACCAGCATATGGAGGGTAGTGTATCTTATGATATAGAGCCTGGGGGATGTAGTATTTGTTTTCCTTTTTACGAATGGGCTTAGCCTTGAAAATCACATCCCCCACAAACAGGTTCGTTGCACTGTTGCTGCCTTCTAGAAACTCAAAGATGTTCTCCACGCTGACAAAGACGTCATCGTCCCCCTTGAAGACAAAGCGTACACTGGGGCAGTACGTGTGGAACCACTTGAGGAAGTGAGTCTCCTTAAGTGTGAGGTTGAAAAAGCTATCCAGGAAGTCCCACTGGAGGATATCCCTGTAGATGTAGTCCTCATACTCCACTAGCTTCTGGTGGTGCACTCTCTCTGCCACACTGGAGGGTTTACCAAGAAGGAAGAGGAGCTTTATTTTTTTGCCGTCAAGCACCTGCTCTTTGCCCCAGGTTTTTCGGATGACCTCCCTTCGGTCATGCTGGGTGGCCACAGATTTTATTACCATGAGCAAATATACATCCCCTGTGCACTTCTCTGGGTGGTTGAGGAGCATGGGAAAGTAGCGGCAGTGTCGATAAAGCATGAACTGCTTGAAATTGTCCTCCAGGCCTGTGAACCACCCCTGACTTGAGAAGTTGAGGTTGGAGGTACAGTTGGAGCTGGTTACATCCCAAGTTCTGGCTCTGCTGTCCTCGGTGATCCTGGGCTCCTGCGTTTTGGCCCAAGCTTTAGGCACTGGCTGGCGTTTGCTAGCCTTCCAGAAGCTTTTCATCTCCAGGAACGGGTGACTTTTGCTTTCCGAAGCAGCTCCATGCTCCGCTCCCCTGGAGGCTTCCATGCGAGCCAGCCTCTCAAGTTGAAAGGGAGCCCCCATATTGATACTTCCTCTCTGGACAACAGTCAGCGCCACCACAGCCAGAAAGAACATGACACTCGCCCTCTTGTACACCCTCCAGTGATCTCTGTTGATCCTCCTGGGGAAAGACAAATATCACAGAGGCCAGTCAGATTCAGCAAATTCAATTATCAAACTCAAATACCTACTGATAGACGGAAAGCTAAATACGAAATCGTACTAATACCATGTTGGACCGTTTTGATCGAGTTCATATACATTTATGTATATTGAGAAGTAATTTAGTTCGTCAAACAATGACCTCTGCCAGACATTGAAACATGGGATCAAACATTAGTAAAGGAAGTGGTTTTGTTAATAGATTTTTTTTTTAATCTCTAAACAAATATCACTGCGATAGGTTTAGGAGTAAGAATAACACACCAGATAAAACACCAGAATTTTGTTTTTTTCAGTGGACATACATCTGTCTCAAAGAGTTGGAACAATAAACTGTTAAAACCAAAATCAATAAAAAAGGTATTAAAAAAAAACAATAGCTGCTGTTTCATGTACAGCCGGGAAAGATTGTCATCACAATAGGTTCCCACAGGTTAACATGATATATATATATTTGCTGTTCTTTGTAAAGCCACTGCAAAGCAAGTAATTAGGAAAGGTTGACATTGTACTATGATCGCTCTGTGCTTTCCCTGTAACTACTTTTTTGCATGCACTGTGTTACATAATAAGACAGTCAAATGTGAATGTTACCTCCTTACATGTTGTAATGGCCTTACCATCGTTTGCTCTAAAACAAATGGCATGCAGCAGAGGTATGTTGTCCCCTTTAGTTTTTAATGTGAAGTATCACTTGTCACTTTCCATCAAACCACTGTCACTTCTGGAAGAAGGTGTGGAAGTTACTTAGAAAGCGTAGGAACCCCTGGAGCGTCTCACATTTCTAACGTGTCATGTCAGGACCCCAGAGACACTCCCAGGGGGCCAAGAAGGAGAGCCGCCCCCCAAATAACTAAAAACAAGACAAATCCTGACTAATTCTGGAACCACATTAACGGCTCATTATTCTGTTCTTTATTCCTCTTACTTCTTTTTTTGTGTGTGCTAAAATAAGCTCTTTAATTGAGGTAAAATAGCGCTCACTTAATGTACAGAAGCATTTCTTAAGTTAGAATCTTAATGAGTGACTTTAGGAGTTTAACGATTTGTAGTTTATGCCTTAGCGATCCAAGAGAGGATGGACTCTGAAATAAGCATGCTGTGAAATTGTTCATCTTGCCTACAATGATGAAGACGCCACTTACATTTTCTCGTGTGATTTCGATGATCTGAGACTGTTGCTTGGAGACAATAAACCAACAAAAAAAAAACACGATTATGGAGCCCGGAATCGCTTGAGTTTATGTCGCTTCGGCTGTTGGACAAATTGATAAAAAAGTCCCTTCCATCGAAAAAGGTCTTGCTGATATGTTGATAGAGAGGAGCGGAGAGTGCCTGTGATGCAGATGCGCGCGATGTGGTCTGTGCTGCTGAGGACTGCCCTCACTCCTGCTGAAGTCCGGCTTGTTAAAGGCAAGGCTGCAGTTACGTAGAGATCACATACACGTACAGGATGTGGCGAGGAGCGAATAGGGAGGAAACGCACAAAGGATTTAGTGAACATGCACGTGCACGTGCTCCATCATATACTATTCCCCATGACAGAGTCAACATTGCATTTCTTTAGTTTCTCCTGCATCAGTAGAAGTCGGATTTTTCCGTCTCAGTGGGATTATTATGCATCCTGGATCATTGGTTTGGTGACATTTATGTGTAAGCGCAGCATTGAGGTGGATCTATTTTGAACCACGTTATATAGAGCTAACAGTTTATTCTATAACAATGTACCATATTGTAAAATATTCTGCAGTATATGAATTATATGAAGTGGCAGAAAATGCAAATATTCAAGTAAAGAACGTGCTTAATTAAGTACAGTACCTGAGTTACGCACTAAGATACTCGCTGTTAAAAACTCACCGTACTTCTCCAGAGATGCTCAGATATCAATAAATCAAGAATTTAACTTAAAACTGATTACATAAGAGAACACTTTGTTATTTTCATTCAGTGTGCCAGAGGTGAATAAAGACCTTTATAAGAACCAGCATTTAAAAAAAATAGAAGATACATATCCATGAAACAAGCGGAAACTACGTTTCCTGTGAACATGGAAGTTCAAATAGAAAATCGGCAGTATTTGACGAGTTGGGAATGAGAATGTGTTGCAGCAGCAGACATACAGTGGGGGCCAAAACAGAGCAAAAAAAGGAGAGGTATTCAGGTAATGTTCCTTTGTGTGTCTTGGAAGTGTGAGTGGACAGTTGTTTGCTTCCACGTTCGCCATACAAAACGATATAAACAGAGATATGGTGATGGTTTTTCTGCCCTCAAGTGGCCCTGGTTTGACTGATACAGCTTTAATAAGTGAAGGTAAAGATATGAACTGACCAAGCCACCTCAAATGAAAAAGTCTTATTTCAATGTGTTTTACAAATGAAACGGACACAATATAGGAATACGTATTCAAATAAATAATAAGGAAGGAATGGTGTCAAAAGTTTGTACTTGCACAATGGAAACTTAAGGAACTAGAATTGTGAATAGTGAAATTTCTTAGGTTTATACCGTTGGCCAGGAACAGCCTAGATAAATAACAGAGCCGCAATCACTTAACTATTAGTGATATTATTATACTGCGGGCATTCCAGTATGCTACTGACGTCAGCAAGAGGTCCTGGTGTTAAGGAGCAAACACCACGGGTCTTTATCAGCTCCCCAGCCTTTCACAGACATTGTGTAACAAAGGATTTCAAATACTTGACGGACTATAAAAGTGACATGTCATTTGATGTGTCACTTTTATAGCCAGGTTGTTGTGGGTGATGGGTGAATGGCGGATTGCACAGCGGTCACCACCACAAACGCACTTAACCCTTGTTGTGGCAAACTGTACTCTTCCACCTCTTTATGGTCTGGGGAAAGAACAACACAATGTCTCTCTGAGCTTCAAAACAGGATTTTTTTTCAATCCGAACACAGCTGCGATCCAAATTTTCTCCTTCCTCTCCTTCTCTCTCCATTTCCTGGATCCAACCAGCCATCCTTCTCAGGGCCATGTGCATCCTGTTGCCTGCTGGCGGTGTTTTTTCCCGTTTTGGTTGTTTTTTTTCAGGCTTTCAGGCTCTGCAAGTGCTGCACAGGAGTGAGGTGGTGATGGATACCACGGTCCCTCATCTTTCCCTTGGCTGGAAAGGCAGCATTTGTCACTGATTGTCTAACAGAGGCATCAGCCAAGGAAAACTAAGTCCTAAGAGCACAGTGAGTCAATTTCACATGTGGCTGGTGTCAGGATATGACCAAGTAACTGCAGTTTTGTTGATTTTCATGTTAAAGTTTAAATTTCTCTTCTATAAGTTGAGCTTCCTTGACAAATGTCAAAACTCCATGATATGACAGTTTTCAACTGCAACTGCATTGCTTCCCCATAGCATTGTTTTTTATCATTAAAAAAAGTTTTGTTCTCAAAACACTTGTCAAAAGATCAAAACCAAACTATGAGAAGGTTAATGATTACCAAAGTCTATACAAGTGTTCCCTATCTCACAAAACCTTCACATCTCCCGATAAATGATAAAGGAAACGATTGCAGAGTTGGGAAATCTTTATCGTCACAAGGTGAAATTACACAATATGAACCACACATGTCCTTCCCTGCATCACTCCACCATGATAATGTCCCAATCAGCTGCTCCCTTTCACCTGTCGGTGTGGTTTTTGCAAGTATGAGGAAGTCAAGGTGGGCCGGAGGGTTAGGGGTGGTAAGAAAAATAGACTGTTACGAAGAAACGGAAAACCTTGCCGCTTCTTCTGGCTCAGAGGAAGTCTATGCTAATCCTTTGTTGGGTTTAACACACCTGGGGGACTTGGGTGAAGATTCCCCTTTGGTCTGCCCGACTCTTGTCAAGAGCCTGACTGGGATGAACGAGCCTCAGAAAGTTCACGTGTCCCTCCTCCTTTAGATAAATGAGGGCCCTGGCTGCTAACTCCGCAGTCGCCATGAAAGAATTTACTGCTGGGGAAGAAGACGTGGCTTGAGGGCATCTTTTTCTTCCCCCTCGCTCTTTTCCACTCAGCCGTCAACTGTGGATCTCTGTCTCTGAAAAGGCTGATAGAACAAAGGCGATGTGATAAGGCTGTTATGAATGTCCCTGTCAGCTTTGGCTATAGATAAACATCAGCCCCCTCTTTAAAGAACCAGAGGCCCCTATGGGTTAAAAAACAAACTTTAATAAGTCCATCAGCACCTAGCTACAAAAGGCAATCTGAAATACCCCTTATCACTCAAAAATTGAATTAATTAATGCAGAATTCTTGCTGATTTTGCCAACTAAAGTTCCTGGCTTTGAACGTGCTGACACACCTTAGTTAGTTTCAAATACATTACTGATTTAGGCCTGAAGAGTCCCTTAGGCAAAGTCACAAGAAAGATATGAATGATTTACATGATGCTATTTTGGGAAACCTGGTGTGTTCACTCGGTGATTGGCATCTTGCAGCATCAAAACAATTTGAGAAATTGACGAAATAATCTTAACTCCCATTTACTCACTATAGGTAGAGCTCATTTCTCGGGGTCCACATCAGCTGAGGTCGTTTTGTCAATTTCTGTTTTCAGGGTCAAGTATGAACTATCAAGCCTAGCCTCAACCCGAGTCTGGTGTCCTCTTCGTTTCCTTGTAAGCTCACTGATTACTGCTACCTGAGGCTGGAAGGCTGAAAACACCCGTAGGAACCTGACGGTTGGTGAGAACCGCAGTTGAAGCAAAGATGCTCAACAACAAAGACGACGCATCAGAAGCTCTGCCAATGGTTTGAAATGGTATACACTTCCTGTCCCCTAAGCTGCGTGTTCGCCTCCCCCCGTAACCCCACCTTGTCTGAAAAAAATGCCATTTTGGTGTCAGGATGTCCAGAGGATATGTGGCTTATGAAAAATATTTACTTCGGTGGCTATGGGGCAAAATAATCAATCCTAATATGTGTTACTTCTCCCATTTTGAGTTAATAGGCTCAGGACCTGCAGCTACTATCCTATGGAGCATAATCCATGTGACACAGATACAGAAAACTGACAGCGCCGTCTCCTTTCTGAATGGTCTCTGAGTTGAGTTTAGATTATTAACTGTCGTTTTCAATTTAGAGAATCAACTACCACGCTTAAGTCTCGAAACGTTGGCGTCGTCACAGACAATAAACCCTCGGTGCATGCAGGAAATCCCAGAGGAAAGCAACCAGAGTGGCTTGCTGTTAAACCGATGCAGCTGTCATCTGTGACAGTGATTAATCTGTTATCCCCTTCCTGTTCAAGAATCAACAGCCTTAGACGGACATTTACTGTTTCCCATAAAGCACACAAACCCCACAGTTCAGGTTTGTTCGAGTGTGTGCACACAGAGAAAGTGTACGCGCATTCATACTAAAAGTTAATGGATATAGTTTGTGAGGACATTCCTGAGAAGGTCAGAAATGTAAAAGGTGAATTCCAAATAAGCTTTAGTCTTTGGTCTGTTTGATGAGAACCCTCTTTAACTTTGACAAAAGCTTGTTTTTGAACATATCCAAAGCTCTGACAAGAATGCCTTCTGTCGATATGTAATGATGTCTTTTTAATGAACCTGGAAGGAAAGACACACAGCTTCAAGTGTTTACGACAAAAGGGAAGCTGTGGGGGTCACCTCTATCTATCCGTTCAAAAGGACCAGTCAAGAGGAAACCAGAGGTTCAGGAGACAGAGATGCTGAAACGCTGTCATTTGTTGGTTGGCGTCACGTTTTATCAGTGGAGCACATGGCTGTCTACTGATAAACAAATCTGAAATGGGTGCCACTGATCCTGATGACAGTTAGGGCTCTTCAGTAGAGGATGCTCCTGTTGTTGAAGACTTGTCTTCAAAAAAAAAAAATCCCAAACTGGGTCTTAGTTTTGTAGCTTTGGTCAACATTATGAGCACATTTTCTCACCAGATTATTTGTAGAGATACAAGGATGTGGTCAGTTTTCTCAACATAGCTTTAAAGGAAATGCAGAACAAGGTCCTAAACAAGTCTCCAGGTCACTGAAACACTTTTTTACAAGTAAAGTCAAAGTAGAAGGTTTTATTACATAATCTTGCAGTGCAAATTTAAAAAGCTATTTTGGTTCAAAATTGTCCCATTGCATTTGCTGATAATGCAAATCGAAATCTACTTTTGTTTGCAATTTCAAATGTAACATGGCTAAAGTTGGGATTTGTTTGTCTGACAGCACATGATGCTCATTCTAATGAGCTCTGTTGTAAAGCCGTGAGGTGGGCAGTTGCTTCCTCAGATGAGTAAATTGGTTATGATGACCAAAGGGAGTGATTGCCGAAACTACAAAGACCCAAGTTTTAAAAAGCAAAAATAGAGAAACCCAAAAGACGTGAAAATCTTCATTGTGTTCCTGGATAATCACTGCCAGTTTTACCATTTAACATTAAACCATGTTCCTCCAACTCAATATGTAGTTGTTCAATGCTATGACAGATTTGTTACGGATTAAATTGATTAAAGACATTCATTTAGGAATATGCAACATATGAGCACAAAATGACAAGGCTCCCCCTTCAAGACAGGCTCTCAAGATGCGGTAACAAGCAAGGACCCTGTGAAATACCCTTACCATGTCAACTTTCAATCAAATTAACCAAAAGACAAAAGGGAACCTGGGACCTTTCAGGGCTCTTGGAGTTCTAGGATCATGTGGCACAGTTGCCGACTCTGCCTTGTTTATAATCCAGCCTTGATAACAATACAATTGCTTTACATACAGCCTTTTAAAGCTGAAATGGTGTATCAGATACACCATGGGGTTGAACTGTGTTTCCCTGCACTCGCTGGAAATATCTTCAGTGTTATAAAAGCCATAACTGTTTGATGATTTTTCCATATCTGTAAGCCCTATCACGAGTCGTTATCCACATTTTGTTTTGATAGATTGCAGCAGCTTCCTCTCTGTCGCCGTTACAGCTGGACAGCAGCATCGTGGCTGGAGCTCAGGGTCACAAGGCCACCTGCTACAAGTGCGTCACTGCTCATGTGCGCCTGTTTCCTCGCATTGTGCTGCTGCTCACCGGCAACGTCCACAGTATTAATCGCTGAACATGTCATGACTCAGGGGACCACACGTGAAAGTTAGAAAGACTAGCGATACATCAATCCCGCAGCCTTTACATATATCTGTGTGTTATTAAGTAAAGTCCTGGCTAGGTGTTAACATCTTAATCACAGGAACATAACTAGTTACTTGTGATATACAGTGCGTCTTTTAGACAGATTTTAGACATTTGGACTTGTCATAACAGGAAAAGCACAGTTGTTACTTATGACATTAACGGGTTTAACATTAACCCATTCAAGTGTCTCAAGTCATGACAGTGTGACAGTGATTCAGCATGCACAATACCAGGAGCCTGAAATGGAAGCAGCTCAGTGGAATTTGTCTATCATTCAATTAATTATTTACACCTGTGCGTATCCTTCTGTGTTTTATTTTGAGAGTCAGCACTGATGTCACCCATAGGGGGGGGAAAGGTTGACCTGTAATCAGTCACTGGTCCAACACACCTGGGGGAACACCAGGAGGGCAACAGTCAAGGTGTTGAGTTATATTTAGTGAAGACTTGGAAAAAGAGGGAATTGACTGATTCGTTGTTTTGGACTGTGTAAAAATGTGTATACTTTTTTTTTTTTTTTTTTTTAAACACACCTTTCTCATTCCTTCCTTTCCTTTCTATGACCTTCATCAGTGATTGCATATCTGAAAGCAGAGAGGGAAAGTTGCTGCCAGCAATGCCACGTCACCATAGATCATTATTCTTAATCATTCCACACAAGTCTTTAACTACAAAGCATTTGTGTGCTGAGAATGAACAGCAGTGCTTTACACAGATCCAACAGTTTGCAAAACCTTGAACAGTTTGAATTTATACGATTACTTTTCCAGCCTCGTCACCGGTGAAGGATCTTTGTCGTCCATGTCCTCTATGAACTCTCCGTTGCCCCATGAGAAACTTTCTGTCAAAGCAGCCGATGGGTTAAGTAAGAGAGTGCTGGTGTAAACTGACCGCAAGCAGTTTACAACACAATACGAGAGCAGAAATCTTCCTGCTGTGTGATATCTTGATGAGTTGAACACAAGATTGTTTTTACCTTTGCAGAGTTGCAATACAAAGACGGACACGCAACACTGTGTGGGCACAATATGCCAGCTGCCGGCTCGCAGTTATTATGCAAGAGGAAGTGTTTTATGATTCAGGACTGTGCTGCAGATCTTAGCAGTAGCCAACCGGGATGTAGCACAGAGCTTAAACTGCATCATCAAATTGAGAAATTCAATAAAGCGGCTATAAAGAGATAAAGGGATATAGATTCCAAGAGCAGAAAACAGGCGATATGTTGCACGTTTATTTAAAACCACTGGAACAGTATCAAAATGGATTACAACAAAAAAGCAGCAATACACATAAATAGACTGTACATCACCACACCTGGAAAACAGTGCAAATGTACAATGCAAACGATGCTGGATTTAAGACATTCACACAATTTCAAGTTTGTTTGTTTTGTCAGGATGATATATATATATATATATATATATATATATATATATATAAACTAGCACTAGCCTGACCACTCGTGTCAAGACCTGTGTCTTTCTGTAAACAGTTCCTGAAGCATAAGTTAAACAAGAGCAGCTACTCTGATATGAGACAATGTGTAATATTTGAAGTAAAGCCGGTAAAATGATTTATTCATGTGGATGGATATTTTCAACCAGTCAAAAATGAATAAATACAGTACGTGGTGAAAATCAGAATGACAGATTTGTAGAATCAAGATGAGAGCTTGATTAATATCTGTGCAATCAATTCGAAGACAAAAGGAGTCCTGGCCATGCCTCATTTCAAATGAAATACACTTTGTGATATTCACAGAAAAATGATAATACATTGTATCTCTATGCCTAGTTCTGTCAGGTATCCTAAACCATTCATGCCCGGTTTATGTGTAGTTAAAAAACAGGTAAAACCATGTGTCTTAAAGTCTGAACGCGTCAGCTTGTATTCAGACGTAAATACAGATATTGAGGGTTTATAAAAAAAAATAAAAAAAAAGGTCTTGAGTGCATGTGAAGACATGCAATGTGCTTACGTCAGAAAACCCGGAAACGTTTTCCCTTGAACTGCCCCGAGTCAGAGCTATACGTTCGAGTTAGATTACCTGCATCTTGTTGCAGGTGACTTTTTTTCACGGCTGGAGGATGTCCACCTTGATGAGAGAGTGGAGAAATGCAGGGCCAACTAAGACTACAAGTGACACAGGGTTGGACGGCTGGGGGTTGTGGTTATTGTCTATATCACGTTACAGAAGTCTGTGCTGAAGCCAAAAGGGGGGAAGAAAAAAAAAACGGAGAGCCACAATGCTTCGCATTGTTTAAGCCCCTACTCCTGCTGCTGCTGATCCTCGGCCATCTCTGTTGCCCTGACCCTGATCACAACCTCGGGGGATGATGTTACAGGAAGCCCGATGCTCCCGGGGAGATAGTGCTATTCCACGGTGACAACTCCCTCTTCACCTCCTCTTTGACTGGCTGCCTGAAGGAGGAAAGAGAATAGGGAGGGAAGGAGGGAGGGATGTGGGGTTTGAGATGAGGAGACGGTAAAGGACAGTCAGATTTGAACTTATCAATGAAAAGAAAATATTTTAAAGAAGCTCTATAAGGAACTCTGAGCAAAATTATGATTGAGGGGTTGCCCTTCACTCGGCGCTCAACATGGCTAGCAGCTAACAGTGCTAAGAGTATGAACTGTGGAAACAACAGCAACAGTGCTGACAGAGCTAACATTGTTTACCTGGACGGGGTGTTGTTGGTGATATGAGCACACTGCAGAGTGGTGGCCATTAGCTAGCCAGTGGGACACACAAACAGATATAAATCTGCTTGTAATATTCATTTGTGCTCGATGTGAGTGTTTTCCTCCCTTCAGCAGATGAATGTAAAAAAGGCCTTCATTCATCATTATTCACACAACATTATTTGAATTTTTCAATTCCTTTCATTAGTTTCATTTTGGCAGGAAGGTTTCCCGCAAACTACTGAATGTAAACGCGTGTCCTCATTCAACTTTACACAAGAAAAATAAAGGTTAAGATCTGTTATCATCTTGATACAACTTAAAATCCAAGATTTTGGTTCTCTTACATTCTTTCCTTCCTACTTGTGAGAAAAGAAAACCTGACTTCCTCATCACATTTTTTCACTCAGGCCCAGAGTGACAGTCCAAAGAGATACTGCAGCGCTTCCTCTACTTTCTCTAGTTGCACGGCAACATAACAAGCAACTGTCATCACGTGAAGTCAGCCTTGTCAACATGACTTGGGGAGGATAATGCCGTTTTCTTTTCTCCATCCTCTCAACATGGCGAGGCAGCTCCTCTCCTTGTTTGCGCTGGCTGAGTGGGTGGTCAGCTATGAAAATGCCTCCCCTATCTTCCTTCAGCCAAAGGAGCGTCTCTGTCAGTCACAACAGATGTGTTTACCAAAAGTGGGCCTAAAGGGGTTCCTGTCTCAGCATGTGGTGGGTCTCTCTGCAGCCAGACTCCACCAAACAGAGAACATTAGGCATAATAACCTCTGACAGTCAGCAGAAACTGCATTCAAGTGAAAATAAATTGAAAAGATTGTGTCTCACGAACAAAATTAAAAAAAACCTAGCAGGAAACATATCAATAAAAGCTAAAGATGCTCACAGTAAAAGTGTACTTATTTTGTTTGTCCTGTCATGTGCGCCTGCTTATTGCCCTTTAAGTGGAGCTACGATTAAATGACTTCCTTATAAGTCGATAGATGTCTGACACTTGCCAGACCTCATAAGTACAACACACACACAGGAGGATGTGGGGGGCTTGGACGAACCATTAGGCCCTATTACAGGCCGCATGGTAAGGGCACCCGCCGTAAGAGCCGGAGGTACTCGCTCATCAAATGCAGTTAAGATGCATGAGCGCATGGGGAGATGTTATCACCCAACTAAGAGTACCAGAGCAGCGGGTCAGGCCCTCTTCACTGCAGTGACTCAAGTTTGAAGTTTAAGATGTGGAGATAACAACAAATACATATGGGCTGAAAATATGAATGCCATACTTTGATTTCTTCCAACAGTCATATATGTACTGCCAACACAATAAATATGTTCATGCTGTAACTCTTGCTTCAGATGAATAATAAGATCCAAAGGCTATAGTTTTATCCTTTTTGGATGTTCTGTCCTCTCCTCCATCTAAAGGCAATTCGACCGGCCTTCTTCTTGTGAGAGCTGTTGTATTGGCCCCGGGCCATCTTCGCTGCTGTGGTAGCAGATTAACGATAGTGATGTACAGTATTTATGGTTTAGCGCCGCCTTTTTCCAGCACTTAATTTATAGAAGATCTAGTTTTCATTTTTTTTTATTCTTTTGTTATTATTTAAAAAAGAAAGAAAGCAACATAATAATACTCTTTAGTAGGATTGCAAAGGAGAAAGTCAAAAGGACAAGGAGGGCTGTAGAAGTCCAAAAACTCAGAGCCTGTTAAATGTAACTGGCTAAGGCAACTGTGAGTGCTATGAACAACAATTGTGAATGCATATGTGAACTACTTGTTTGATAACTGCCAACTGATGATTGAGTGTCATCACTGGCGAAACACTGGAAACACAGTTATGCAACAGCTTTGAGTAAAGGCAGATTTTGTTACAGAATTCCAGTTGAAACACAATGTGTATCTCAAGTTGTGAGCTTCAAGGGAACTGGAAATACAACTTGTCATCTTACAGTAAGTTCCACTTTTGTCTTGTTGTTATTGTAAGTCCGCTTTCATTCAGTTTGAAAGGAGCGGGAAAACTATTTCTCGGCTGTTAAATTGGTGAGACCGACAGAGACCGAGTTCAATTGTGACCGTGGAAGAGTTGTACTGTAATGGTAATATTGCATTTAGAGGACACTCACCTGCATCAATGAGATGAAGTACTTTTATTTGTCAGTTGTTGTTGTTGTTTAATGACCAGGATTATCCAAACGTAGCCAATTTCTTTGTGGCTAGTTTGCCAGTGAAATTCCCTGATTTATTGTATTATAATATTAGCATAGAAATATAAGGATTTTTTTATGTCTGTATTTTCTGTATTGTAAAGGTGTTTTACGTTTTGGGGGGATAACTGAAGCAGAAGCCAGAGCCAAAATTTTGCCAACACCGGCTGGTGGGCATGTGCTTACTTCCACTTTGTTTCCCCCTTCCTCCCGTGGAGCTGGCGGAGCCTGGCTGGCTGCTCTGCTGAGGCTCCGAGTTGCAAAACTGGGGTGCCAGAGCGGGGCCTCGAGCCCGGTGATCACCGACGCTCTGGCTGTCTGCTGCGTCGGGCGTACGGGGAATCTTGGGGTGGCTTGTAACTGCAGGGACATAATCGCTAATGATGACAAAGAAGAAATAAATCATCAGTTTTGCTTTGCACAGTAATCAACAAAAAAGATATTGTGGAAACAGACATTGTCAAATGAAAAATAGTCAAAATAAAACATAATAACATATTGTTTTCAATATTAAGGCTAGATTAAGCAAGACAGCCTCCTGAGAAATGACAAAAACTGTCCTTTGTTGATTTTATTTTTTTACAGACATTATTTCTCTTTTCATGTCAGCTACTACAGCTCTTTCTCACTTGCTTACGGTTAAAAGGATTATTCAGAGAGGTTATCCTTTTATCTATTGAGCTGCTCAGTAGCCGTGTGACACCACTGCCATGAACAGATCTCATTCCACAGAAGGTTTCATAGCATTGAAATCACGGCATTCCTGGGTACAACATCCACCTTGCACAAGCCTCTTGCCCTTGACACTCGATAGCGTCCATTTCACTTGTTTCAGTCGATAGCCTCCACTTATGGCGATATTGTGCCAGACTGGTTTATCGATACTCCCAAGATACCCAGTATGGACAGCTATCAGTAGGGTTATCCATACTGTACCGCCTTCATTAATATATGCATACATTGCAACTCTATATTATGCTTGGGAGTCAATATCATAAGTAAGGTGATGAAAATTAGAGGCAGGGTGTCTCTAGCTTTAAGGATCAGGCTAAATATTTCTGAAAGAACAAAACAAATCTCATAGTCATGAGTCCACTGTGTCTTCTTTCACTATGTATCCTTTCATGCAAATTACACAATATTTGGCAGCTACTTTATATCGGGTTATAAAATTGTTGTCTTTCGGAAAAAGGCCTCTGAAGTCTGAATGGAAAAAGGCCTGGCTGCCCCCCGAGGGGTTACCTTGAATAAGTTTGAAGCAGAGCTTTTCCCCGGAAAAAAAAGAAAATTGCCAAATTGCCGTGTTGCTAAGATTCTATTCACCGAAACATCAATGACTGTGTCGTGAATATAAAAGTCTTGTCTCCAAAACTGGGGTGAAATGAGGCTACTGAAGTCTGTATTGTAAAGGTGTTTTACGGTTTTATTTGGGGGGGTAACTGAAGCGGTTTCCTGGGAGTCATTATTCTTGGGGCGGAATTCAGGAGTCAAGTTCCTCTGGGATTTAAAGGAGAGGAGAAAGTGGGGAGGGTTGATTGAATGGGTCTCTTTGTGGGAACTGCTCGTTTAAATGCATGTCACAGACTCACAGACCAGCTTGGCGGTGCTGAGTCACAGATCGGTGCAGAACATTACTCTCTCCACAGACACACAAACACACACCTCAGGGTTTCACAGGAACCTCAGCTGACTCCCACTGTTTGTATTAGTTTGCATCATTCCTTTACAGTCCTACTGTGGCTCTCTTTTATGGTAGTTGCTACCAAACAACTGACTAAATGCACACACAAGCCGAAGACCTTTTATTGGTTTTATTGTGTTATTGTTGTATTCTTTCTATTCTTGTGCTTCTTTTGAAGTCACACACAGAGGTTTGTTACTCTTTTCTCTTTTCACTTACAAATAAACGTGTTTCCTATGTTGTATTTATCTTAAATCCATTAGTTTCTGTTATTTTCATCACCCACAGCTCACCCTGACTGAATTCAATGATTCTAACTGAGCAAATGACTCTCTGTAACAGAGAGAGAGAGAGATAAAATATGGCAGCACATAGGAATTGCTTGGATTGATTTCACACAGACCTCGCGCTCTAACCGTCAATAGGTTTGCCCACTCGCTTCTGTTGGACTGAGAATTTGCAAATACAACAGGCCTCTTTCAAGAGGGACTGTATATAAGGCCAGGGTACCATAAATGATCATCCACCTTCTTCAAGCCTGTTGGAACATGCTGTGGCTGGAGCACTTCCATAGATGTATTTTATATCCTATGTTGTGTCATAAAGAGGTAGCCAGAGCACAAACTGTTCATTGAACTGAAATGCACTGCTTGTAATGCATATGAAAAAGAACTTAAAAAATGGAATGAGACTCAAGTTGAAGACCTCTTGTTGTTGCAACCATTAAATTGCAGCAACATTCATGAGAACACACAGTTCCTCATTATGTATGCGTGTGTGTGAGTGTGTGTGCAGTTAACATATGTGTGTGTGGGTTTACCTGGCGGATTGTCCATTGTGTTCCTCCTGGGAACAACCTTTTCTGGCTCGCCCTTCGAATGGCCCGTCCAACTCGGACTCCTGGGACAACCGGCCGCACTCTGAGTCTGAGAGGACGGACATATTAGATCTTCAACACACTACTTTTGGAATTATAAATCAGAACTTAAATAAAACAACGTAACAGTGAGCACAACCTGATGCCACGCTGACGTTCGTTAATATAGAAAATCAAAATAGGTCTTGAGCCATTTGGTCTTTATCCCTTATGAGGAAATAGAAAGTGCTTCCTTGCCAAGTGGACACTGGGCAACACACCAAATAAATCCACATCAACCAAATTGCATTTTGTTACTCTACCGCTATCAATTGTATAAATGTATTGGCAAATGACATTTGGGAGGTAAATGACATCATCCACCCACCGATACTGTGGCGTAGGGAGTCAGCAGTGCTGGGGCGACTGCCGGAGCGTGTCGGAGGTCGGGAGTTGTATCGAGAAGGAGGCAGGCTTCCTTCCTCGCTCTTCTGTCTGCTAAGGGGGAATCCCCTGTGCCGGTTACCTTCATCCCCCTGGCCGTCGCATCGATAATCCCTACGCATTGACACAAACAATAAAGCTCAGGTATTGCATCATATTTGTAGTTTGTATCATTGTATTCATCTCACATCTTAAAACCTTTATCTTAATGGTTTTCCTGATCTTCATTGGTGCTATCTGTTTATGGTTGTACAGCTTTATATCTAAACATGATATATAATTCAGAGTTAGCAATACTGTTGGTTCTAGTTAGTAATAAAACCAGCACATCAATAACTTGCTGTGAGTTGATGCTCTGGGGCCAGGTCATGTGCAGTCCACCGTTCCCTTACAGCTGTCATATCCATTATTCTGAAATAACACTTTCCCTTCATCCCTTCACCCTGAATTACAGGTTGTTTGATTGAGAATGCTCTGCCTTTCAGTACAAAGCAGCTCCAGGTCCAATCTCCTCCTGCTGACTCATTATTTTACAGTACATGAACAATTCAGCAAGAGCAAAAAACGAAAGCTTATCTTGCCCCCTTGCAGTCCACCTGACACACACAGGCACCATGAATTAGCATGAGAGCAAGATGGAACTGCATTTTAGACAGTCTGATATTGAATTAGCATGAGAGCAAGATGGAACTGCATTTTAGACGGTCTGATATTGTCTGTGTGTGTGTGTAACTTACACTGCGTTGAAATGACGATGAGAACTTGGGGTGACTGGCCGTTGGAGGGGTTCATCAACGCTTGGTCGTGACAGAGGGGTTGACTTCCTCTTCACTTTTGCCATGTTGGTCATAATCTACACAACACAAACAACAACACTCCTCTAGCCATTTGCATTAAATATGCACAGGGCAGTACAAACTCAATATTTGCTTATGTGTAGCTGGCTCGTCCGCCTTATTCTAAACGGTTTACGTGTCTTCTAAAAAAACGTGTTTATTTAACCTTGCTGGTGAGGAGTGTACTAAGTGTATGTATTTTGTTCTTACTCCCAGGTACTCAGTAGTGAGCAGACTCTCCCCAGACAGTTCCCTGGGCTGTGGTTGGAGAACTTCCTCTATATCAAGGTCTGTCTCCATTAGATCTTCCTGCACAAGACAATGATAGCAAATCAGATAAAAATGACATCATTTGTGGTGAACGTAAAGGTGTGTTCAAGCTAAATCTGAAACATGATGGTCACAAAAGACTACTCGAGTATGCAGTAGCAGTATGCAATCAAGTAATGAAATGGCCACGGCTGATGTTGATGTTTCCTCCCACTACAAACAGATTATATAAAAGATTCTGAGGTATGTTGACTGCTGTGACTATGGTTCGTTTGCCTAATTTACTTTTTCACAATAACATTGATGTGAGTCTACGAACTAGATTGAACACGATGCTTGGCACCAAGTTACACGGTGCCAACAAGAGAGCAGTGTAGTCTGCACTTGTTGCGGGCATATATATCAGTTCCCCCTTATAGCCACGGTAAATGGATAGCAGCTACAAAACACCACATCTGAGTTCAGAGGAAGTGGAACAAGGGCACTCAAGGAATTCTTGTGCGACCACGAGGGGAATAGGGGGACACACATACTGCACACATTACACACACACACACACACACACACACACACACACACACACACACACACCTAGGAGACTCCAGCCACTTCCACTTAAACTTACTACCACATACCTTATCTTGATAACCCACTTTCCCACAGAAAGTTATTCTTACGGCTTTAGTATTTCTACTCTTTGAGTAGTTATCATTTAGGTTTCTTAGTCTGTGTTTCTTGATGATTAGGATTTGTTTTTATTTTGAATTGGCTATATTGTAAATGAGTTCCCTAACCCATTGTACTTCCGAGTTAAAATAAAGGTTGAATAATGCGTAGATTGGTATATAATATGATGGTGTAAAGCAATAACTTGTGCAACGGGTTGAGGGCAGGACTCACATTATTGTCGTCCTCATCTTCTTCATCATCCGACTCTGGACCCTCTTCATCAGCTGGGTGGAACACAGCCAGAACATAAGGATTAAACCAGTTAGTCAATTTTCCAAAAAAACAACAGCAGCAGGAGTCTTCTTTCCGAAGGCTTATATAATGTAAATGATGAAATGTAAAAACTACGGATTTTGACTTAAGAAACACATCAAGTATCTCAAAAAACAGGTAACTGATATTAACACATTATAAACCACTGACAACAGCCACGAGACTTTACATTTACATGTACAGTAGCTGTTCAATTACCTGTTATGTAAAGCACTTCCTAACATTAGATGTGGCAACCAGTGCATGACTACTGCCAGTAACACCAGATGCCCCAAACTCCAAATTAACACAATGTCCCTTCCAATAATTACATTATTTTATACATTATTTATTTAATTTACACATTCATAGGAAAGAATACATCAATTGTAACAATTTACTTCACTAACCTGAGTTTAGCTGTTTAATGATGAACTCAATCTGTCTGTTGAGGTCTGAGTTCTCCTCTTTGCTGTAGCAACGGAGAATCTCCTCCACACTCTGCACACATGTGAGGCAAACACACGTCACACCAACGTACAACAGAACTATACAGCTTAAACATAAACACAAGAGCTACTTCTCCAGTTAGCTTTAGATTCATAATCAGTTACTGAATGCTGAAAGGCAGTATACACTGCAGAGACAATTGGTTTAAGTGACATTTTTGTTCATTATAACATATCGTAATTGTGTTGATAATGACCACCAAAAATGATATTTGTTGGACAGGACGGGCTCAGCTACATCCACACTCTCCAGCCCACCAGCTCACCAATATTTGGGTACAATGACTGTGTCATATGACTGTGAACACCTGTCGTTTCCCCTCCAAACACTGGTTGTGGGGTGTCGTAAGGAGACAAATGCAGAGCAAAAAACAAACAAACTGGGTCTGTTTCCTCCAAGCAGGTGAAGACATTTCTGCTATCTCACCATCTCTTTGGCTTCCTGTCGCACAGAGGGAATACACAGGATACTGTACAGGGCTCCATTCACATATGGTCGAATCTGAGAGAACAAAGGGACACAGACACACACACACACACACACAGCCTCTGTCTTAATGATCTCAGGACAAATGGTAACAGCTTGTTTGAACACGCAGCAGTAAGGAAATGTGGATAAAAAGAGGAAAGAATGCTTATGCTGAGGATCCAAATACAAGTATATCTTTATAGACTCACAGTATGTCATGTATGATAATAATAATTGAGTTATTGGCCCTTTCCTGACGTTGAAAGAAGCTAGTGTTGTTTATGTTTTATAGACTTACCTAAAGTCATTGCTCAATTCTATTAAGACAGCGAAACTCTGTGGAAGGCATCATAAACATAGTTTTATGGCATCCTGGGTGTGTCTGCTTGGGTTACAGTGGTATATGAACAGATCAACTAGTGGTGAAGCTGTATTCATGCGTTATTGGGAATTCTGTTAGCTAATGAAGTGCTGTGTGTTGTCCACTTTGGCGTTTAGATTTAAGTTTAGCGCCGCAAACTAGCCAACTCTCTGTTGTGGTGTCGCGTTCTGAACGTGTGAGCATGATTTAATATGCTATGTATGCTGCCTCCATGTTTTTCAGCCTCTATGAGTGTGTTCTGCGTGCACATTACATGTACTGTGTATTTAATATCTGTGTGCAAGTGTTGATGGATGTGTGTATCACCTCGTGGTTCTCATGTCCAAGGACGTCAGTTAGAACCTTTAGCACATGCCTGCCGTTCTCTGCACACTTCCTTTTTCCTGTACAAAGACAGCCATCCAACACACACACACACACACACAGACACACACACACACACACACACACACACACACACACACACACACACAAAATGAAAGATAGGATGATATTTCATTCAGATTAATAAATTAATGATTCCCTCCAACCCGATCCTTTTTTCCTTTGCATTTTATCTTTCTGTGTGTAAGATAATAACTCCACTGATAAATCAAATGCAGTACAGTGTTGCACTGAGGCCCTCTATAAAAAGCAGGCCCCTCGGGCAACTGAGACCAAATAGAAGGAAGTACTGAGAAAGAGGGAGAGTATCTTTGTTGTATGTGCATTAACCTGAACAAAGATACACACTAGATATGGTGTGAGAGGGTGAACCGGTAAGCACTGTGTTCAGAAGAAGCTGTAAAAGCTAAAAGCCCGTCCTGTGGCCATAATAAAATAATCCGACAGGAACAAAGTTAGACAGATATTCTATGTGGCTTTGAAAGACATAACATTGACATTAAAGAAACCCTAGATACCGCATCGCAAGGCCAGCTAGATATACAAAATAAAACTATTGCACAACACCCCTTATTGCCTTCATCAGGGACAAAAATGCGTGGAACAAAGCAAAGTCATCTTACATACAGTAAATTTAATGAATTTTGAAAAATGCTATTAAATGATTTAGTCTAAAAACAGACATACTGTCTAGTATTTTGGACATGATCTAATTGAATGTATAAGCAAAATATCCAGCCGAATCTCAAAAGGTTTGGGGTATTATATAATTATTCAACTGTGTCTCTGTTCTGTATCTACCTGTGCATTGCCTTTACCTTTCGTTCGCAGACACAGGTTCATGAGCAGAGCAGCAGAATACTCCAGGGTGTAGTCACTCAGGCAGTCTGAGTCCTGCAGCTCATCCACCAGCCAGCCAATCAGATCGGCTGCTATCATGGCAGTCTGCTGGCTCCTCCTACCAAGAAATGATGATAAATTAAGGATTAAATGCAACTTGAACTGAAATATTTGTGTTGGGCCGCAGGTCGAATTCACCCAGGCCACTGCGGTAAGCACATGGGTGCCCACTCTACCAAGTAAGGTACCGGGGCACACCACTGTTAAGTTCCTTGCACATGTTAATGTATGTTTATTATGATTTTAGGCCATCTAAAAGTTGAAATCCCCGTTTTTGAAAATTGTGTGATGTGTGATCATGTCACACAACATTTTTTTTACCTGAGGCTGAGCTTCTGCAGGGCAACTAGCACATTCTCTCTCGTCAGGGAGTCTTTTTCCTCCGTCCTGAGTGCCTCTGTCAGAAGTTTCAGAAGAATGGGGATTTGGGAGAGGTAAACCCGACCTGTAAGCATTTACACAACATGAAATTAAGATCAAAAGGCAAGAAATTGTCTTCTTTAAAAGCCTCGCTGGACCACATAGAAATACACCAGTTTTATCTAAGTTACATGTAGCGGCTTCAGCAATGAAAAGCCCCAAATATCACAATTTATTTTAGGTGTAACTGTGAATGAGGACAACACAGTACAATAGAATTATCTCAACAAAAGCAGAGCTGACTGGACTCAGCTATGATGGGTAAACCTGATGCAATTACATTTCTACCATCTTAACAACTTACTGGTGTCACATTGCATGTTTTCTGAGTATATTCAAGTCCCTAAAACTTCAGACTGCCAAAGAGATATTTTAACCACTTTTCCTTGTTATTCAGACTGACTGTTAACTACCCAATCTCTTAGAAAACAATCAAACCACAACCACTTCCTACATAATAAAAGTAATTTGTGTCAGCATAAATATACAACAGCGTCTGTTTACAACAGTTGCTGCTACGGGGGATCATTAGCGGTTTGAAACCCAAATGGAAAGCCAGTGAGGTCTTCCGTGAATCTATGTCTCCAAATGCATCCAGTCAGACGATGACTCATGTTGCAAAGAAGTAATGATGCTTCAGCACTTACCCTCTGCCAGGGAAGCGAATGCATTGATGAGACGAGCCATGTATTGGCGGACCGTCTCGTTCTTCGATCTCATTAAATGAAGCAACATTTTCTATGAAAACACAAAATGTAGGATAGTTTAGAATTATATCTACTGCTGCCAGGTAAAATCAATAATCATAAACTTCTGAGCAGGCCTAACAGGTGTGGCAGATAATGTTATCTCAGCAGCTGCTGAGATTTCAAGATTTTAAAAAGAGCAATCAGTCCTGTTTTTGTTCGTAACAAAGCATAATTTAGCCACTCTACAAAGGCACACCCTGGTTAAAATGACAGTCCTTCTCATCTCAGACTATGGTGATGTAATCTTCTCCAGCAACACTGTTCTTTTATATATTGTACATATTGTGATGTTGTCATTTTTGTACGAGACTGTTTGAGATGTATCTATGTTTTATTTTGTCTTGTATCTACTTGCCTACTGTTCCTGCCTTTTTGGCCAGGTCATCATTGTAAACCTGAACTGGTGGTCAATCGACTTATCTGGTTAAATAAAAGGAAAATTATGGAACTGGTCCGATCAAACCGAATGGGGCATGATATTAGTCTCACCGCTGAGCCGAAACCTGACCAGTGTACTGGGAAAACTTGCCCAATTAATGCTTTTGGCCATCGTCAAACAAAGAACATTCATGCATGTTATTTGATTACAAGAAATTGACACCCTTCCACTGTTATTGTGGCTCTGAGTAAATGACTCAAGTGTCATTTATGGGTGGCTTGGAGCACCGTGGTAAGTACATAAACAAAGAGCTCAGGTATGAGATGAGGATCACTTACTCTTCTGTAAAGGGACTGTCTTCAACATGGCGCCCCTACGACTAATGGCTAGGCGAAAGAAATGTGAAAAGAAATAAAATCTGTGTTTCCTGCTCCGGCCTTTTGTTTAAAAAGAGGAGAATGAGGCTGGGAACATGGCAAGTGTTCAGTCAGATTAAAATCAAATGACATAGATAGCTCATATTGTGGGAAGGCAGGTGCAAAATTTGATTAATTCTCAAGACATTGATGAAGAGTTACTCGATAAATAGCATAGATGTCCAATCAATTTGTCCTATCCATCCTGGGTTCATCAAGACATTGTTAGTACCCACAATATTTTAAAATGGAGGGAAACTGTTGTCAAAGCAATTATTTATTTGATTATTGATTTTTTTGGTGCTCACATCTGATATCTGTCGACGATCATTTTAAAGGGTTTTACTGAAATAAAATGGTAAAAGTTTTTTGAAATCAATGGAAAGAGTGTGTCCTTGCCATCTACAGGGAATGCAAAAGTTAAAAGGAGTAACATAACGTTTATAAAAAACAAATATCCCAGAAGCATCCAGACATCTGAAATGCTCCAGTTTGTCTATACTGTTTATGCTCTTCACACAATTCAATTATAAGTCAATGGCAAGTGGGAAACAAATCTGTGTGCACCCAGCCAGGGGGCCAATTCACCAACTCAGGGCCTCCTGAAATCAGAGCCTGGGGATTAATTAGGTCGTGAGGCTAATGGACAAGAAGTTATGTTTTCTTTTGGCTCTGATGGTTGCATGAAATATAGGTTGGAAAAACAAGATCACTGTCATTTCAGTTCACATCGGTAGAGATGTCTACCACAGTAATTGCTTTATAGTGTTTAAACATGCCACAATAAGATTGCATTAAAAAGCTGTAGTCCAATAATCTCACCTGTTTTGTGCTGTAGCGCTCCATCAGATCGTTACTGATAAAGGCCTGAAGTATTGTGTCTCTTTGTTCCCCAGGGAGTGAGCGAGTCAGTCTCTGAAATAACGTGAGAAACAGACCCACCAATGAAGACTCAAAGGAGTAGCCATGCAAAGTGAATATGATTGGAGCTCATTAGCTGCTCATTAGGTCTTATTTTTCTCTCCTGCTCAGTAGAACCGTAGAGGTGGATTAGGCTGCTATGGCTTTGTGTGAAAGCATTCCGTTTGTTGAAACAGGAATATACTGTAAATAAGAATATGAATACGCACCCAGCGCAGCGCCTGAAGCAGCAGGGCCTTGAGTCTGTCTGAGCCTTCGACCAGGTCTTTCTTCAGCTTCTCATAGTCCAGTGAGGGCAGCATTGGCACCTCCTTGGATTTCCTGGATGTTAACAAAAAAAGACGAGTCAGCCATATTTGTAACATGGCGCTTTTCAAACTAAACAAATTTGAATCAAATGTAAGTTACTGTAACTTACTGCGGCGCAATGGATGCTCGTAGCATTGAGGAGGCCTATGAGCGGGAGCAACATTGAGAAGAGAAGACACAGAGGAGCAGAGCATATTTTAGAATTCATCACATTCTTACCTTAAAGTGTGGAAAACACTAATCCATGCGGCTGTTCATCTGTCTTATCATCCGTACTATCTGGTCCCCCTACTCACCCAGTGTTATCCTTCGAAAACATTCAAGTCAGCTACAGTCTAAATAAGTCATTAGTGGGGTTCTTTTTGGACATGCATACATCATGCTTGTGGTACATGCTGAATCCCCACACATACAGGTGTGATGTTTGGCACCATCGCCCATGCAGTCAGTGTCAACTGGGAAAAGATAATTCAGCAATTAAAAAGTACCAGAGAGGGCAAGTTAGTGTGAAACAGCCATCCCATTTGTTGCACCTCTGTGTACTTGTACTGTAGGCCTATGTGTTGTTGTTCTAGAGAAAAGGAAATGGAGACTACTGAACAGAGTAATATATCATTGTGGTGAGGGTGTTAGGAAGAAGGTTGAAAGAGCTGATTATAAGTGTTTTTTTTTACTATTGGATGAGGATTTTGAGCCCTGAAATCTAATCTGAATCCTGGGTGGTTAGGCCTATGTTAGCAGTGTTAGGTCAGCTGATCTGTGATGTATCAGGGGGTCTGGTCATATTTTTGTTTTGGTGTGCAGCGGGAAATGTGTAAGCGGAGGAGAACATTGCTACTTGGGTTCCTTCCCAAATTTCTTTCTCTGTAGAAATTTCAGTCGACCTGAAGAATGCTGAAGGGGGACATGTTTCCCTGAGACATTAAACACCGGTGTGTCTGGACCCTAGGGGGCCGGATTAATAGATGTATATCAATGAAAAGAATATTCTCCATTGCTGTCTATTAACAAGAAAGCCACACACCTATGTTGAATGTAGAAATAGTGGCATCAAACAAAATGATTTTCAGAGGCAGGAGGTAAAACTATATCAAGGCATTTCTACATTTAAAAAAAACAAACATGAATTTCCAGGCCACCTACCTGTATGCTCATATTTCAGCTAATCATCTACACAAAGAAAAAGCTTGACCTGAATTCTCTGACAAGGCACAGCTTACAGAAGCTATGCCTTTACTCTCTTCTCCTCTTTAGCACATCTTCTCACCATTAACTCTTTTATGACCGTGGGGACAGCTGAAGGCCATCTATTGTTGACGTTACTGTCCAAGTAGACTGCTCTGCCTTCCCCTGGCAGCAAGATAAACCAGAGCGGAGTAGCAAATAAAGATCTGTGAAAAGCCCTCACAATATTATGAGGACATAAAAAGTCTCATAATTATGGTCAATTATGGTGTTATGTGGCAATAAACGGAACATTTGCTTGCTCATGTGAGGGCAAATTAAGGACTATCAGCTTTCATGAAATTAACATTAAGCACTAATTCAATGCTGTTAGATTTGACTAATTTCCAACAGTTAAAGGCTTGGCCTGACATTCCATGGAAGTTATCTAAATAAGTATTATTATTGAATTTATTTCATCATGTGTGTGCTTACTATTGATTATGTTAAGAACCATCACAATTACATTACGCGTTCTGGTTGTCTTGCTGCAAACTGTTTGACAGCCTGAGCGTTTACATCAAAGCGCCTTGTGTTGTCCAGTCACTATGTCTGTCTAAACTGTTTTAAAATCTATTTAAAATTATTATTATTACTATTAACAAATGATGTGGGGACAAAACTGAAACTGACCACATTTACCTTTAAAAAAAGAAGACAGACATCCAATAGGGAGAGTTGAGAGGAAGAACAAAATCAATTCAAAGATGAGGTACGCTCGGTCAGTGACCTGACAAAAGAAGTAAATCTTACAACAAACGAGACCTAATATGACTTAAAACTAGAATAATCGAATAGGAACCAAAGGAAAATAACAGGGATTATAGACTGTGTACTAAGTCAGGCCAAGAACTGTATACAAGTAAAGGAAGGGGAGGCAGACACGAGGAGAACGGGAGGAGGAGGAAAAAGAAGAGACACGGCGAGGCATAAGCAAGATGAGAAGTGGGGACCTGAGCGATGACAGGAAGTAAAGATGAAAACATATGAAACTTACATAGCCATCATCATAGGGACTCATAGAGTAATATCCCTTTGTGGACAAAAGCACAACACACGGAAAAAACACAAACACACAGAAAGAAGTTGTTCAGTTCAAAACAGAAAGAAACAAGATTTCACAAACCGTAGCTCAACACCACAATGAAGGCCACTGACAGTAAGCGGGATTGTCATGGTTGTGGTAGTGTGGACAGTTTTTTGATTATCTGTCCAATAGAGTTACACTGCAACAGCTATCAAACCATGATATGAAAATGATATTTTACTATTTGCTTTTAATATTACTCCTCTAACGTTGGCATGCAATCAATCATGTGTATAGTATCCATTCTAACACCTTTCATCAAAAGCTGAATTTCAAAAGTGGTTGATCAAATTTGTGACGTAAGGCCCTGACAGCACTTCCCTCTGCCAGTGTTTAGGCCTTGTGTGTTGTTGCTGTCCTTCCAGTGACAGTGGGAAGGAGAAAGAGGGAGAAGAGAGGTGTCTGTGTGCTCTCACTCACAGTGCCAGGTCTGGTGAAGTCAGCGCTCTGCACCACACTCTGCCTCATCTGGCTGCTGAACAGGCGAACACACACAGTCTGCAGGTACTCAGGAGAGATCTGCAAAAACACAGCAGGCCCCTTGAGCTTTAAGATACCGTTTGTGGGTAGAGGGAGGGCAGTGTTGCTATTTCTGGCTCCCAGTTTAACAGCTTTGTTGTCACCTGGTAGCTAAGAGCATACTTGTGCATATTAGGACCGTTTTAAAACGTTGCTATGTATGTTTGTTATCTTAAGTGTTTGCATATACAACTGTGAACAGCCTGATTACATTTTGTAGGTCTGTCTAGTTATGTGTGCACCACATGTGCGCATGTGTGTTGGTCTCTTTCTGTGTGTAGCTCGTGCCCCACAGTCAAGCCGACCTACCATTTTTCCACTGACGGTGGCCTCCAATGAGTCCACCAGCTCAGCAGTGATGCCAATCAGGTTGTGATAGTCTGCCTGCATCTTGTTGAACTTCCGCACGTAGCTAGTGATGCGCCGGTCCGATTCAACTAGTTGGAGATGTAACTGCTGCATGGCCTCTGTGCAGTCACGCAAACACACACAGGAGGAAGTTGCAGAATGTAAACACAAACAAATATGCAACATTCATATCATGAGTGACATTCTCTGTGTAAATTAAGGTCAAAATGTTAAATGTGTCATCTGAGAATTTAAATTAAAAAATGAATGGATGGTTGTTTATCATCTTTTCACATTTTGTCTGCCAGTCAACACTTCAGATGTTGGTTCGATCTTTGTGTAATTATTCATCTTTACCAACCTCAAATAATATGCCTTCATCAGTTCTGTTTTTGGCTTGAGAAAGACTTTTTAAATCTTTATCTGGAATATTTGTCCACCAAGCAGTAAGCAGGCGTGGTCTTAAGATTTCACGGTAAGGGAAGCCTTTGTTACCAGAGACACCATACAAGTTCTCCGTGTTATCATATGACAGATAGAATATAATATAAAAGAACAGATTAAATAAATTGCAATACACTGCAAAAGGTAGATGACCTGAGAGGGATATTTACCTTTAGTACTCCTTCCTCCCTCCTTCTGCATGCTTCCTGTTAAAGACTATGCACTAGCACTCAATTGAACACAAGTCAAACATTTCTACTGTATTTGTTTCCTTATCCAAAGATATATAAGACACAATGTGTAGCTTAAGTTTGACTGGACATAAAACAAGCACACAATATGTCCTACATCCTGTTTGAACGTAAGCATATTTGTCATAAAAAAAACAATATTTACTTAAGATTTAGCTCAAATAAATAAGATTCAATAAAGAATCAACTCTAGTTTGTTTTAATGGGAGGGATAGATCTTTTTCAAAAAAGGACAATGGGCCAACACCCTAGTGTGGGCAAACACAGGGGCCATTAAGTACATTTACATGCACGTAAGCATGTAAAGTTTACATGCACACACTAGTCATGTGTGCACTCTACTAACAGTGACTTCTCATTTGTGAGTATGTTGTCTCAGCTGTCAAAATTGCTGCCTGGTGAAGTGTTTAAATATAAAAAAAAGATTATACATGTTAGATAACCTCGCTCCCTTATTTTTTAATTATGTACAAAAAGACAGATTTTCTTTGGTCAGCTCTTGAGATGATAGTCGCATTATTAATCTGTATGCTTTGATCGTTGGCCAGTAGGGATAGGGGTTTATTTTCATGGTTTAGTTTTCATGCGTAAGCATGAAAACTAAACCATTTTGAAGGAGTGAGGGTGAGTTAGTGTCTGCCATACTCAAACAGCCATTTATAAATGCAAATCAAACAGCATTTCTTTGCAGCATATGAATCAACCAGGTCAGTCTGAATGTTAATTCATTCTTTAGTCACTTTAGGATTTTATCTGATATTGAAATGTGCAGTTCAGCCAGAAGAGGGAATGACAACCGCTCTGTATTTGGCCTGTGTGAAATTTCTAAAATGTTCCCCTCTAGATCTTGTATTTTTTTTTTTTATAATGACAGCAATGACATGTGAGCGAGTCACAATAGAGGATACATATAAATTCAGCAGCCTTGGGGTGTTGGACTGCTTCAGGGTCACTGACAGAAACGGCTCCAGCTTATCCTTCAACTGTGGTATCCAGGAATTCTACATATAAAGAGTGTAGGGTGGGAGAAGATATGGTTATGTTCATTCTTTTGTATTATTTTTCGTTGCGGTAAGGACTTCGTAAATTGCCTCATGATTATTATGAAGCTGGCACTGAGTAATAATGTTGCATATGTAATTACTAGTTGACAACCAACGAGGTAATGTTCCATAATTAGCTGTGCACCTGGAAAAGATCTTTGAAGGAGGGGTGGACGGTAGGGTTGGGAACGAAGGGCAAGGCATAGTAAGGCAGGAACTCTGAGGTCTGGCTCAGCGCTGCTCCCCGAGTCTCCAGGTACTGCTTGAAGTGGGAAATCCTCTCCTCAAACTCAGCTTGGTCCTGGAGAAAGATTCAGGTTTTCAAATGAACTGATTTATTTCAAGTTAATTACGAAATGTCAATGTTAACATTATTTAAAACATGTCCTCATTTCCTGCAAAGACCTACACAGTGACAAGCATGTTATAGAAGTTAGAAACATTGTTGATAGCCCACTGAGAACAAGCCTGTAGCACAGCTTAGTGGACATTTTGAAAAAGAGCACATAATGATATTCAGCTGTGGGGTTGTGATATAGTTTGATTTAGTTTGAAGATAATTGAAACTGAGTAATGCTCTTGTTATAGAAGAAAATGAAAAAAATGGATCCACATACGTGTCTACCAGGGTGCCTCCTCAGTGGGTAGATAGTGAAGTGGATGTGAAGGTAAAACTCCAGGCTCTGGGCCTCGGTGTCTGTGTCTTTTATCTCAGAGGGAATATTCTCTGTCCACAGTTCAAAGAACACTTTGTGATCTCCATCATCAAAAGAGCTAAGAAGGTCTTTCTAGAAAAGTCAGAGTTAGAGAAGAAAGTGTTGGGGAAAATTACATCAGCAAGAACAATATGCTACTTTTTAATGGTCATTTTATACACATATCACACCATGATAACTGATAAATACATGATAACACAAATAAAAAATGGACAGTTGCCACCTCCATAAATGATCAACAAACTTGAAGCAACAGCAGATTCAAATAACTGTGGAATTTACCTGAATGCCACGAGTCTTTGAGTCTCTAGTTTTTCCTTGAGGCTTTGAGACGAGCTTGCCTTTGTTTTTGCACTCCTTGTCCAAACTGTTCACAGTCTCTTCAAATTCATAAAACTTAAGGTACTACAAATGACAGAAACAAGCACAAGTGGCATTAATTCCATCGTAACCAGTGCAGAAGTAAGTACTATTTTAGGTCATCCACAGGGGGTGGGCAAAACTGCACCTAAGCCATTTAATGGTAGTGGAAACTCTGTTCTATGCATATTGTATTCTTTTCCAAATATACACTACAGTTGAAAGTAATGAAATATAGACAGTAGCCTAAAGTAGTTAACATTATTTGAGCCTATCAATAGCAGTAGAGCAACAGCTTGTCCTGGGGTAATCTTTTATGTATTTATATTGGTATCAATATATTGAGGGGGCATTTTGAGAATATATACATAATATAATTCCTGTTTTGGCTGATTCAGTTTCTTATTGCTCTGTGTGCATTCTCAAAATCGTAATTTGTTACCTCCTTGATCATCCCAAGAAGGTCGGCTTCTGTTGCCAAGATGTCCCCCATCTTGGCTGCCTCCCTGGAACTCATGTGAGTGACCAAAACCTTGAAAACACCTACTGACAGCAAAGACGTCTGCACTCATTAAATAACGCATGCACTTCCATCAAGCACTCTGCAGAGCCTGTGAGGACAGGACAATGCATGGCACTATTAAATAGTCATATAAGTGTAGCACCCAAAAAACGTAATCAAAGCTATTTAATTTAATGTTAGCTAACTAAGTCAACTTCACGACAACATCAACGTTTGCAAAAAAATGTGGCAAGCTAGCTAGTTAAGCTACGTTACTAGCAGAGAAGCTAATCAGTTAACGTTATCTGACGATAAGAGCAAACATAACATCATTCTCACCCTTTTCACACATTCGTGAATATAGGCTATTGTCGCTTTCAATGTGTTCGTCCGCAACTAAATCTTTTATAATCCATTTTTGACAAGGCTTATGGGCTTCACTTACAATATTAGTCAGCTAGCCATTAGCTAGCAACCATACACAAATAGGACGCTAAAACACCTAGCAACCAAAGAGTTGGGAAATGCAGGCTGGAAAGTAGAGGCAAATGTCGTAAAGTATGACACTTTACGGTATAGGCGGAAAGCAACTGGATCGTATAAACATTACTTATTTCTTAGAGAAACTGGCAAGACACGATTATGATATTAATCTAAAAATTGTTAATACTGCGAAAACCTACTTTATTCAACAAATGACGTGTAAACCACAATTGTTTTTTAAACATGAAATTATAGTAACGACAGCTACAACGTTGATTTTTCGTATTACTTCTAATATAGTTTATTTTTGTTAGCCATAGACAATACAACGTGATCCCATCTATTTTAATTTCCAACATCAGTCGGTAAATTATAATACATTTGTATTTTCAACCGGAAGTAGTTTTCGTGTCAGAGGTTGAGCACATTTCTCCGCGGTACAATTCTAGTCTATTGATTCAATACAACTGGCTTCACACAGTAACGTTAATGAATGAAGAATAAGTTAACTAGCGCACACGTTACACACGCATTGCCACAGAGAGAAACTGGGTGACTGTAACTTTATTCTGTTCCCAATACAATACAAGAAAGTCATCTTATTTGAGGTAAGCTTGGGAAGCGTGTGCACAACATGCTAAAGCTAACAGCTAGCCTGATTATGGGATACTTCTGAAGTTGTAACGTTACGTTAGTTAGCTAACAAGACCCTAAGACTTGGTCAAATGATAACTCGGCGATGCCTTGAAGCAACGTTGTTGAATTAACGCCCGCTGAGAGTGTTTAGTTGCCAATACATGTTTGAGTTTAAACGTTTCATGTTAAGCTAAAGTTAATGTTAAAGTTAATGTTAATTCCACATGGACTCTAGCTAATTGGGTTCATCTTCTTCAGTGTGATTCAACTAGTTTTGTGACGTATGTTTGTCTCTATTATCACTATTATTGTATCTGCTAAGTTGAGCTAACGTTACACTTTACGATCTGTGTCCAGTGTCGGAAAGGAAGCTTCGAGTGTGTAGTCTGAAAATCCACTGAACAATAATTATAAAGCCTGTAGTTTTTATGAATTTCGGCATCTTCTAGTTTGACATAACATTAACTTGTATAGGTTGACTTGTAGAAATGAGCAGAGAACAGACACCTTGTTTGTCACACTCCCCCCCCCCCCCATTAGTAAATACAATAAGAGCACTTGTTATTAAAGACTGAAGCTTCCTAGGCATGACAGTTGTTTTCATTAAACCATTTTTAAAAATATCTTTATATTAATATAATATGTTTTATCTTCTTTCCTTCCCAAGTTCATAGACCCGAACAGAGATGGCTGGAATCCTGTTTGAAGATATCTTCGATGTAAAGGACATTGATCCCGATGGCAAGAAGTTTGACAGAGGTGTGTGACATGTCATTAATAACAAGGTTGAAGAAGGTGCGAAGTTATAACTCCATACATTACAATGGTCTCCAGTCTCTACTACAGTACTGGTACATTTATTCCGTAATCAGCCACCTTTATAAAAATATGACATGATCTGAAAACCATCAAGCTAAAGACCCAGATGCATTTCTCATTGTGGAAATGTAACATTGAAAAAGTAGAATTAATGTTGGTCTTACCTTTTAACCGGGTGTCCAAGAACGCAAATCCAAAATAATGACGCTTGTGGCCAATCATACAGCTTCAATTATCTACATTTTAGTTGTTTGTTGTTGATCTTGCGTCTGTTCTTTTGTTTTGAGTTATGTTCATGTATTTCACCTGCTAAAAGTATTCACCTATAGTTACATTTGGTTACTATCATGTATTCAGTGTTGTTTTCAATTGATGTCCTTAACTTTAAAACCGCAAATGAACTAATCCAAAATCTACTACCACTTGTTTTTTTCCACTTAAGTATCTCGTCTGCACTGTGAAAGTGAATCTTTTAAGATGGACCTCATCTTGGATGTGAACATTCAGATCTATCCGGTTGATCTTGGTAAGGAGCAATATCTTTGTCTTTTTGTATATTTATTTTAAGTTAAATGAAGATTGGAAGTCTTTTTTTTTTTCTTTTTTTTTTTTCTTTTGTCTCAACACAATCATATTCTGAAGTCATTTATCTTTCCACATGACATCAGAGTCAATTTGCTCCTCTTAAATCTAAAGCAATCTTTCTACTCTTTCATGAAGTGGTCACATAAGTGTTTGGCTGCACTAATTTTGCATTAAAACAGCTACATTTTACTCTTATGTCCTCTATATGTGAGAGCACCTTAAGGATAAACGAGCAAAGTACCGTGCTTAAATAACCCAGGGTGTCTGAGCCCACCATAGAAACTCACTTGCATGTGTCCGTTTCATTAAGGTGACAAGTTCCGCCTGGTTATTGCCAGCACGTTATATGAAGATGGAACGCCAGACGACGGAGAGTACAATCCTCAGGATGACCGGTCATCTAGGTGAGACATTTGCTTGATGCATTTAACATTACAAACAAATGCTAACTTTTTTTTATAGGACATAATACCATCAGTGTGTATATATATTTTTTTCTGTGACTGTCCTCTGTGAGATACCATATTGTTTGCTGGTTTAGATATGTGCTCTCATTTAACTTTGTTTCCATTCCCAGAGCGGACCAGTTTGATTATGTGATGTATGGGAAGGTTTACAAGATTGAGGGCGATGAGACCTCAACAGAAGCGGCGACACGCCTGTGAGTGATGTTTCTCACTTTGACTGAAGCTATGAAGTTAAGCTTATATGTGTTAATACAATAACTAATCAAGAAACCATTGGCATAATGACGAGTAGCGTTGCAGCTGTTATAGATACATTATTTGTGCAATAATCCCACAAGAACATATTGAAATATTGCAGCATTTAGGCCTCCATACACCGGGGGCATGACAAAAACAAATTACGCAAAAATGCGACATAATTGCTTCAAAGATTATGTCTTGGGCTTTTATTGTGAAAGGTACAGCGCAACCTGATTGGTTGATGACTTTATTTGCAGTAGGAAAGCTCAGAAAGATCCACCAAAATATATAGATGTGCTAAATAATCGCAAGAAAATACGGCCCTAGTTTGTAATGGTCTTTTCAAATGATATTTCGTTCATTGTTATGAAAAGACTACACTGTAGGAGGCTTTTCAGTGGATTGTCATTGGTCCACTATTCTCTGTATTATGTGGATTACTTGCCCAACAAAGGTCTGTGTGAGAGATAATAATATATTATTTATCAGTTGTTACCAACGTTGGAATCATTCTCATTTGTACCTTTCACGGATGTGCTCCTTCTTTCAGCTCTGCCTATGTGTCTTTCGGTGGCCTCCTCATGAGGCTGCAAGGAGACGCCAACAACCTTCACGGCTTCGAGGTGGATGCCAGGGTCTACCTCCTCATGAAGAAACTGGCCTTCTGAGGCTCACCTCTGCTTGCCCACTTCACTGGTTCCTCGAATGCCACAGTCAACCTTAAAGTCAAAATGAACTGTACACTGAACATTGGTATTCTCAATTCTGCAGCACGTGACCATCATCCAAGAGCAGCTCATAGACAGAGTATGTGGAGGGTGAAGAAAACATTTAGTTTTTTACTTTTGTAGTTACAGAATGTTTTCTCCAAGATGATGGACTACAAATTAAAGACTGTGACACTTAAGAACTGCAACCTCCATCTGCTGGCAAACTGTAAATAAAGATTTCTTTTATACATAATGCTCAGGTGGTCAGTCACCTTTTTAACAATGTTTTTGTTCTTATCTTGACAATTTATTCTTTGTTTTGTTAACCAACCATAGACCTCTGCAACTTCTTAGGGGCTCTTGCAAACGTGTTGAATTTGGTTATGTTTTGTAATGGTGTTCTGCAATATTTTTACTGCAGGCACGCTGTGTGCTGTAGTGGAGAGGGCGGGAAAAGGGTTTTATAAAGAAGCTGATGCTAACTGGCCCAAGCACTGTACCTCACAGGGCAATTTTAAACACCGCTTTGTTTTGGAAAAATATGTAATTAATAGACATTACATCACATTAAGTAATATTTATTTTGAGCATACATTTAGGCATTCCTTCTTCCAACCAGTAAATGGAGCACTGACATGTCTGGTAGATATGTTTTCCAGACACACAGCTTTAAAACAACGGAACAGTCATCATCTCTTTCCAGAAACACGGTTCAGAGTAACTGGAATCTGCTCACATCAAAAGGCTTGCAATTAATATCTGCTTTGGAATCTATCCACATACGAATATTGTTGTGTGTGTATCCTGCTGTAGTTGTCAGAATGAGTAGCTGCAACTTTATTTGGCCTTCAGTGCTACTATGTTCTCCTGCTTTGCATATGTACTGGATATCTCCAGACTGCATGTATTCTTCCATACCACAGACCCACACTGACCCTGTACTTTTCTTAACCCCCATATCCTTCACAGTGACCAAGCCGAAAAACGTGAAGAGGCCATGCGTTATTACTTCTTATTAAATACATTTTATGTCTGCAAATAGCAAACTGTTGGTGCCTTTTCACAATTTTCAAGAACAGGACAAGACAAGACGGGAGAAGATCAGATGGCCTAGATTGCGATGACATCTTTTTAAGATGCTGCCAGTTTAAGTTAATAAATCACCCCGTCCCTCTCTGATCTCATTGTCAGTTTGTATAAAAGCTAATTTGCTCATGCACTCAGCTCACTCATTTGACTGTGTTGTGAGTCAATCTGCAGATTGTAAATAAAGATTTGACTTGATGTGCTTTGATTAACATCAATCACCACCAGATTAACCATTAAGTGAATCATTTTAAGTTGAGTTGTTGACTGGACCCTGTGGCAAAGAATTTGTTAAGTTAAAATATTTAACTCACATATGGTACTTTATTACCCAGCATGCCATAGGCAATGGTCCTATATTTGCTTGGACGGCAGCAATCTAAAATGTGGATACTCGTGAGAGAGAACATTGAATTAAGGGTGAAGAGGCAGCTGTTTGTGTGTAACAGAGGCGTCTCAATGTCAGCGTTAATGGGTGTCACAGGATGTGGAGTAACACTGCCAATGACTAACAAACTCCTGATATGTGCACGGAAAGCCTTCAAACATTGGAGTGTAGTGAAGCTGTAGAATAAGCTTGCTGCCTTAACAAAAAACAACAGCAAAACGGCAAAATGATATCACTACACCGATCAAGTTATTAGAAGAATGAAGATGTTGGGCTTCCAACTGGAAATACTGGATTTTAATGGTTTAATCTATGTTCTTCTGTCGCAGATTTTGTGCTGATGATTAGTAATTTAAATAAATGATGTAAGACATTTTCTGCTCAAACACTTATTCACATATTCAGTGCTTTTCACTAGAATACTATTTTCAGTATGGACATGAAACAGAATTTTCTTTTATCACTTTTCAACTGGTCTAATAACACCCTGAATGCAAATCAAATTCAGATTGTCACAATGTTGGTTTGGCATATTACAGAAGTGACAAACTGCAACTGTAACCTGTATTTACATAGACATAGAATAACAACGTCGGTACATTAGTTGTGTCCTGGTTGTGCCATACTGGAGCAGGATTTGTTTTCATATAATATCATGCTACTGTAAGATTCCCTACGTTTTGGATCTCAGATAGCTTACTCTTCTTAATTTATATATATTCTTTAGTGTAACATCTTAAGGTCATAAATGAATTGGCTTTTCTTGTCTTTTTATGTCTATTTTCTACAACTAAGGTTTACTTTACAACACTTCTGAGCATTTCCAAAGCTTTATTGAGCCTTCCCTTCTAGTCATTTTTGGATTTCTAATCATTTCACTGTGAAAATTAAATTAAACTCGCAAAAGGATTCATCATTGGGTCCTTTTTTTTTGTCAATTTGTATTTCATTAAATGGCCAGGCATCTAAAAGCACAAATGTATCTCAAAACCTGTGCACTCAATTTGTAGTGGAGGGTTAGGGTTCGGGTCGGTCCTGTGCTCGGTTCCAGTCCCCCGGAAGTGATGTGGGTTGGAATACACTGCGCAGGAGCGTTCTGGGGCGGCTTGTTTGCTCTCCGGGGTTGGTGCTTCCAGCTTTACGGGTCCAGGGAGTTTACTGCACAGCATGGATCAACTAGCGCCGTGCAGTATCACCGCCTGTAGAGATATGTAGCACATTACGCACTTATTTCTTCCACAAGAAAATGCCGTTTTAAAGCTGACTCTAGACGGGCTTGGTGATGTCACTGCATTCAGATCTGACTAGAAGCACTGCATTCGGGATTATGTCAACAGTGGTGTTTCGTGGAGAGATTAGAATGAACATGTATCTTCAAGTATATTATTAAAGCAGCCAAACACGATGGATAATCGACGGAAAAGGAAGCTGACGTTCTTTACAATTGGGCTTATATTTCTTCTAAGCGGTGTGGAATATGGTAAGATCTCTTTTTAATTCAATCACGTTCCCTTTAAAATCTAAGTGTTGCATAAACATTGACATATTTCATTACATGCATGTAAAGCTATTGCAGATAAAGTTATCACTCATCATAATTGAACATTGGTTAGTAATATAGAGTGGTGGTTAAAGCCATGTAGAGGGAATTTTACTATTCATACCTTTGTTTTTTTTTGTGTGGTACATACTGTGATTGAACTTGTGGTTTGACAAGTTGATGAGTGTTTCAATTCATCTGAGATGTTTCACACATCCATTATATGAACCTATCGGGTAAAGAAGACTTTGGCCAGGACTGTAGGCAGGATTATAGTTCTACAAAGGACAGGACTGGATCAGTAACTTAATTTAACTGTTCCATTGTGTTAACTCCAAGCTGTCTCCACACTGGCCATGTTATTTAATAATTTACTTTTTTTTAAAGTTTCACAAAAAACTGATTTGGCCTGTGGAAAATCTTTCCTAGGTTGTTAATCTAAATGCCCCAAACAATACCCGAGGACATGACTCAATGTTTTCACCTGAATCAAGCTGCAGACCAATCCATATTTAAGTGAAATCTGGGTGGGGTTAGCACATTGTTTAGCCCTTATGTCACCTTACGCTCACAATACCCAATACCTGACGGTCCCCAAGGACATGCTTGCGTCATGTCCTTGGGGACCGTTTTGATTAACATGATTCTAATGTTATCCCATAGAACAACACCTTTAAACACACTCCTTTAACACCTCTCTCAATAAGATTCAGAAAGATAAGATTTATTACAAGACTCTTGTGTCAGATTACATTTCACTGTACATGTGTTTTTCATTGCCGCTCGCTGTAGGTATAATGTCGTAAAACACTAACAAAGAAGTGAGATTCAATTGTATAACATGGTTTTATCACTCACTCACATACAGATGCCTCTGTCAGCGTTTAGTTTAGTTTATTAGGATCTCCATTAGCTACAGCATTGCAGCAGCTGTTCTTCCTGGGGTCCACACAACAGACTTGCATAGTGGCAATGCAAGAATGAACGGCACAAGCCTTAAACACAGACAGAATAACATGACATACTAATATCAAATAAACAGGACAAGACTAAAACAGACAAGACAAGCTCCTGACAATTGTGTCATCATCTGGGGGGGAAGGATGAACATTCTTGCAAATGACAAGAACATTTCATTTCCCTCGCAGGCTTTATCGGGTGTCTTCTGACCCAATAATTGAGTCCGCACCATGGAGGCATTCAAATGGAGAAGGAGCTACCACTCTTTTAGCATTACTAGCACTGACATGGAACATATTTAAAGTTGCAACTAGAACTAAAACATACAGACATCATCTAATATCTTGTTTCACCCACTGATGAATGTCACTATAGGGCTCAGGTGAGTCACAAGGTTGCAATAAACACTGATGAGATGCCACAAGGATGCAGCCCAACAGAGCCACAATGTGGTCGATTGACTCCACATTCGAAACTATGACACAGATGACTCGGCATCGTTAAGTAAGCCAGTGTAGGCTCAGCAGATTTTGGAATACAATGTTCACTTCATATGTTGTGTGTTGTCCGAACGGTTTTCAAGTCAGACACTGAAGTGTAACATTACTTCAGATGAAAGTGTACTTCAGAAGGCAGATAAAAACGGATTCTGCTTCCTTTTGTGTCCCCAGCGGTAATATTGCCCACAATATGGAGGTATTTGCAGACATTGGATGCAGCACCCTACTTTCTGGGTTTGGCCCTGTCGGCATTCAGCTTCAGCGGGCTCCTGACGGGACCGCTGTTTGGCCACTTGTCTGACCGAACGCAGACCACCAAGAAGATCATTTTATTTGCCAACTGTTTTGAGATGATTGGTGAGTCCGCTCATATTTGTATTTACACCACTACTGCCTTGAAACCGTATTCTCATTTCAAAAACACAACTTCCTTTGTTATTCTAATTGTGTTAATATTCTACGTGGCTAACTTTATTTTTCTCCAACTTTTTGCTCTCCAGGTAATTTCATGTACTTTATGGGCTACTCCAAGTGGCTGTTACTGTCAAGCAGACTGGTGGCAGGTGGGTCTGCACCAAATGACACCTCTCATACCAGTAAAACCTGGCAGTATCATTATATAAAGATTTCAATTTTAGCTTGTAAATAAAATGTTGCACCATCGTTTGAGCCTTCTAACAGCTGCTGTTCAGTATATTTTAAATGTGGTGCACATTTAACCCCAAAATGATAAATGGTGACTATTTGGTTGACCAGCTAAGTATATCCAGAATGCTTGAAAAACACAGGCATACGTTTTTCTCTTTGTAAGAAGGCTCAAGTAGCCACAAATCCCCTAATTTCAGCGCATTGATCATGCTTTGAAACTTGAACCTGCGGTGACACAGTACACCACTTTAACTCTGATGTTGTGTATTTTAGGTATATAATAACACATTATGTGACAAGAATGTAAATCCTCTCCAGAGCTCCAGGTTTTAACCTCAATGTTTCAGTAATGAAATTCACTCATGAAATATGCATTTCCCCCAGGCATCGGCACCGGTGCTGGCTCATCCATCTTTGGCTTCCTGACCCGAAGCACCTCCCCCGACGACCGCGCCACTGTATTTGCTGCTGTCATGGCATGTCGACAAGCTGGCCTTCTGATTGGTCAGTGTTTTGTCTGCTTTCTTATGACAAATTCCAAAGGCTGCCAGCTGGTCATTTTGAGTTTAATTGGCATGAACTGGAATGGTTTTGTGATCTTTACACGGAAAATAAGATTGAGATTTGAGTGGAATTACTTGCCATCTAGCCTCCCATTTAACACAGTGAATGCTTAGAGCTCAAGTAGCCTGTATGATTGTAGTTGCTTTTAGATTAGTTTGCTACTTACCAAGATTGTGCTAAATGATTTGCAAAGATTTTGGGGTAACATGTTTTAACTTTGGGTTTGACACAGGTCCAGCATTTAACATCTTCCTGAGGCTGTGTGATTTCCACCTGGGTCCTTTTGTGGTCAATAAATATACTGCGCCAGGGGTAAGGGTCCGCACTACGTTTTTTTCCTTTGCCCCTAAAAGAAAAGTTGTAACTCTTTATCCATCACCTGCAGTTGTTCATGTGCCTGCTGTGGACTCTCCTTCAAGTGGCGGTGATCTTAATGTACTGGGACCTACCGCCTCTAGAGAAGGGGAAGGCCAAGAAGAGTCTGACAAGCCAGAGCAGGGAGGAGGTGGAGGAGGATCGAGGGCTTGTGGAAGACGACAATGACGAGGAAAAGCCGCTAATGGGGTCGCAGGAGCTGGGGGGGTCCTACGGCACAGTTGTGACAGCCAACGACTCAGTTGTGACATCCAACCCAGCCGGATACGATGCCTCTGCTGCCTCAAAGGACACGTTGAATCATATCTCTCCACCTCCCTCTCCTGTGCCACCGGAGTCCAATCCGTCTTCCAGCCCCCTTAAGAATTTCAGCATATCCCGAGGTGGGTGGTTTACAGTGCGTGTGTCAATATCATTCTAGGTCCTTAAAAAAGTCAGGGAAAAGTTGTAAAACACATTTAACTTCTTAAAAATAATGTCTCTGACCCTCTTTGTAGAGTTCCTGAGAGAAGAAGTAGTCGTGCTGCTGGCTGCTCAGTTCATCACCCTCTTCAATCAGACAGCGCTGGAGGTGCAGACAGAAACACACACACATACGCAAAGAAAGTCTCTTTATATTTCTTTAGTTAAGGATCACTTTCCTAAAACAAGTAGAGTAACAGTTCTGCTTTCAATGAATTGATTTTTGTTTCTAAATAATTTAGAAACAAATGAAACTATGCTGGGATAGGAATTATTATGGGATACTTCTGGCAGACATGTTTTCAGGACTTTGTGACAATGTGCTTTCATGCACTGTACCAACATCTCCCCACATTCCCTCCTCAGACCATGGTGACTCCGATGACCCAGAAGTACTTCAGCTACGGGGAGCTGGAGAACAGCGTGATGTACTGTCTGTGCAGTGTGGAGGTGATCGCCGGCTTCCTGTTTGTGCGCTGGCTGAGCCAGCGTGTTGCTGATCGAGTGGTCCTGGCCGTCGGTCTGATCATTTGCAACATCTCCGGTGTCTGGTGCATCATCTTCTTGGCTAACCCACTAGGTCAGACTGCACTGAAGAAACTGTTGTTATTGTACACATAGATCTTCATCAACTGTAACTGATGCTGCTACAAAACCTGATCTCCCACGAAGAGTCAGTTTAATGGTGCATTATTTACTGATGAGGCCTGTTTAACAAAGCAGGTTTACATGTTTATATGGATAACTCTGCTGAATATAGAACATCCTTAAATCTGGTAAACACTCTCTAGTATATAAATTCTATGACAACCATCCTCTCGATCAAACATTTGAAATACCCCGTTAGAACCTGGCTGTATCATGAGTGTATCAATGCTTTGGTGTTTTCTTTTGCAGGTGGTTTCTCCTGGCAGCTAACTGAGTTCATCATTGGGGTGTTTCTGCAGGTTTTGGGTTTGCCATTTGTAGCCGTGGCTCAGGTTTCCCTCTTCTCCAAAATTACTTCTGAGAAAACACAAGGTGAGAAACTGCACCATCTGTTGGAAAATAGAAAGCATTGCATGTTGGAAAGTGCGTCCTTTTACCTCGCGTTGTTTGGTGTGCTGAGCCTTTGTACCTTGCTTGTATTGCAGGGTTCAGTCAGGGAGTGCGGCGCTCAGTGGGAGGCCTAGCTACCATCCTGGGCCCTCTGTGGGCTGGTGGCCTCACCGAGAACATGTATATCATGATGGGGGTGATGATGGGACTGCTGGCACTGCTAACGGTATGCAAAAGGAAACTAAAAGACAGAGAATGTCTATTTACAAGTCATCCAGTCTGGGTGAAGGTGGTTATGGCTGTGTTTTGGGGAATTGTCACTAAATGCACCATATGAGGGCTAAAACCGACAATTTCGCCACCAGTTTTGTTAGTTGTGGCATTATTATTGTGCACAAATTTTACCAAATCTACTTCAGTGGAACTTTATTAACCACTAGCGCTGTGTACTGAATCTCAATACGATTGTAGTGCCATGCAGCTATAGGTCTGAATACCAAATGATTTGATTTACCCTCATTTAACATGTGCACAAGACACAGATCTTATTTCTGTTTCAAGCAAAAATTGCAATAACAGTTTTTCTTTTTTTTGCAGCAAGAATCTAATTAGAATAAATAAGAAACAAACAAAGCTCAGAAAAGGGTTTCCAGTTAGGAATAGGAGATGCGAGTTGACATCTTATAGCCAGCAGCTTCTCTTGCGCTCGGGAACAAAGGAGCATACCGAAATGCTTGTAATGCCTGTAATGAAGAGTGGGCAAACCATAGCTCAGCAACCAAATGTTTCCACTATCACTGAGAAAGAAGAAAACGCAACCGGAGTGTGTGCCTGCGTTAGAAGGACTCAGTGTGTACACTTTGGAAAAAGGTGAAAGGGAGTCCACCTTTCTTTTAAATTAGGCCCACCGGGAAGCTGCCTCCACAGCCCTGTCTTTTCTTTCATTGGTGATGACATGTTGTTACATCACTGACAGCTCTGAAGCAGGGTTTCAAGATCCAGGGTTTGCACCAAATCAGTCAGTTTTCAGGATTAATTCTGCAGCCGAGGGAAGAAAAGTGCTTAGTGTGAAAATCAATTATTTGCTCGGGCATCAGACCTTTTGGTATTTATTCTAATGTTTTAAATGAAATAAATTTTCAGATTCATGAGAAATCCTTTTCTAGACAACTTAATTTTAGGAGATTTCTAAATTGAGTTTATTACCGAGAGAGTTCTGAGAAAATGAAAGAAATATAAGAAATGTACAAGAGACTCCAACACTTGTTTTTTCTCTTAGAGCTTCATTGCCAAACAGTTTTTCTTCTTTTTTCTTTTTCTCTTTCTTGTATTAAAACTAGTCTAATATTGTTTTATACAGGTGATGATGGCTTTCTCATACAAGCGGCTAGTTGCACCTGCTACAGAGGAGCAAGTGGATGACTCGGACAACTGTGGCTGATGTGATGCAATACGATTAGATATGGAAGGTAGCCTTTTACAAACATAATCTATTTAATAAAGGAAGACATTTACGTATCCAAAGACTTACAATAAGACCTGTATTTTATTAATGCAAGACAATTTTTGTTCTTGCATGCATTCGTATTATGAGCCAGTAACAATCAAAATGGTCACTGGGATTTTGGACCCCTTTGTTCGTAATAATAAGATGCTATATTCCATGTTTCTGGTTTGACTGGCAAACAATATCTTTCGTCAGATAACTTCCGGGCTCTAAATAGCAGCGGTGTCTACCACCATACTGCCTCTTATGCTGTATTTCTTTCCCTTCTGCCTGTGCACAGTGGAGGATTCCCTGTCCTGTACCTTACACACCATCCACAGTTTCACTTTCTGCATTGGGACCAGCATGCAGAGTGATAACACCCACACGCACCAACAGCACACACCTCACTTCCTCCCGAGGGCTTACTTAAAACTTGGACTGGTCTAATTTGTCTACAGAGGTTAATCAAAACACTCGTATGGTGTATACGTACGTTTCCCATGGAAATATGGAATCCTGCTGCGTGTGCAAGCTCTGGATGAAAAACATTTCCATCCTTTTGTGTTCTGTACCGGTACTACACTGGGTTCATCACACTCTGACTTTAATGAACATGCCAAATGTTTGTGGATTTAGGTGACCCATGTCCTTGAGCTGTATGAGAATAAATTAGCTGTTGCTTTGATACTTGATTTTTTTTTTCTGGGGGGGGGGGGACCTCAAATATATTTATCAAGCTTACAGAAAATAATCAGGTAAATGAAATTACCAAAAGTTTTTCATGTGTAAGGAGTTTTTTGAAAAAACAGGCTTTATTGTCCTCGAAGTTAAAATACATATATTTTGGACCAAGATTTTATTTTCTGATACATCAGAAGGAGTTTAGCCTTTACTCATATTTATTCCATCTACGTCTGATATAATGGACACAGAGAAATATTTGAAAAAATGTATGTTATTTATTTAACTGTTAAATTATGTGCGTTAATACTTTCAGAGGGGCCCCTACCATTGAAGCAGTGTGATGAGTCACCGTCTAAAAGATCCACTAACATAAATTAACTGAATTATTGTGCGTTTTAACTATTTGTCATCCGGAGTCTTTATCATCCCCTGGTGATGAAAATGCTGCATTTGAAATCTCACAGTAATACAATTCTCAGGGAAACACCTAAATAAAATGGTCATTATAATTTCTAATCTTCCTGTCTTAAAGGCTGACTAAGTTTCCTGCTTATTAAAACAAATCTATTTGTGTGATGCTGATGTAGTACATAGTTTCAACACTAGTGGGCACTCTTAGTCTTTCTACCAAAGTATATCCCCGTCTGTCCTGCTGAGCTGAATGCTTCCAGTGTGATCTCAGTCGGTGTGATAACTCCATAAGGTCAGGTGCACGATCATACACATTTAGGGAAAAACTGCTTTCATTGGGAACTTTGTGTTACAAAAATAGTATAGTTGTTTTTTAGGTTGCACTACAAAAAATGAATACCAATCAGGCAAATCACTTTTGTAGGCTTGGCATTATGTGTTGTACCTCTCTGTAAGTTGTTCAGGTTTTATCATCACAAACAAAAATATCTTAAAAACTTTGAGACTATTTGTTTCAAATGTATTCTGTATTTATTTATTAAATCTTTTTTTGGCACCTAACATGTACAGTACACCCAACAGAAAAGAGGAACTTCTATTGCATTACATTGACTTGTGTTTCATTATTCTCTCAAGAAACAGTGAGTGTAGTGTGTGTGGCGTGCACAGTAAAATATTAACATATAAAACCAAAAATAATAATGATGTTAATTATAATATAATTGACAAGAAACATATGTAGGCGTATAATATATCAATACATTTATATTTAATGTACAGTTTATTTAAGCTCATGCCTTTTTTTAGTAGGTCTTTAGTAGGTAACATGCTATCAACTCAAAGGCCTACTAATTGAATCATAGAGTACAGTATATACGGAAATATTTATAGCAAATTATCACATTTCATTAGTGATAATGTTGCCAATAGTAACTTGCCCCCCCTTTCCATAACATCATTAAAGAGTGCTATGTGTGAAATATTAATATGCTGTCTCGGGACATGAATTAATCATTTTCTTTTACTTTTTTTTCTTTTTCTTTTGATTAAATACATAAAATCTTTTCTTTTCAAATTATTGTTTAATTAATATTTAAATTATTGTATTTATTTATTTTCTTCTCAAGATTTCTTTTTTTATTTTGGTTGTAAAATTCATAATTATTGTTTATAGTCATTCTAATATATTTTATACTTTCATTTTCAGTTTATTAGTTCTTAGCTTTAGTATTTTTTTCATTTGTAAGGGACCATGAACAAAATATTGATCGAAAATGTTAGTTATTTTTATGTTAAACATAAATTGTAACAGACTTAGTTCAGAGCTTATAATGCTAGTTGTCTATAATGTGGATACTATTAGTGGCAATGGGTATTATTAATATATATCAATAAAGAAATATTCTATGATAATCTAATAAGTCTTTTTTCTGAATGTTTTTTCCCGTATATGATGTATGCACCACAATATTTAATTTACAATCCAGTAGAATCATTTTAAGAGTGACAATATTTTCTTGTAAATAAATATGGATATTTCTTAAATAACATTTCATAAATGTACATTATGTAATGTAAATATAATCTGAATTTACTTATGTATATATTTTGATTTTATTTACAGTACATATTTATATATATTTTTTATTTTCTTTATTATGATTCTATAATACAAATTGAATTAAATTTGTAACTTACAGGATTATTTTGAAACTGTCTCTGCAATGCTATTTCAAAATAGCATCCATTATCTATGAAACAAATATATAAATTGTATTCAATATTTGGTTAATGACACATTAATTAACATAATATATGAAATATGTATATATATAGTTACTCACAAGGAATTGTATTTAATAAATAGACCACAGACCTTAGATTGCAGATGATTTTAGACCACAGCATGTTTTTACAAAAGTGACATGACCATCACATTTCTAAACCTGGTGTTCTTATCATTGGTCGTAATGGGTCGGTGGACTGGGCCCACTGGGGGTCGCTGTGACCCTAGCCAACAGAACCAGAAAGTAGGGCATAGTTGTGGTCTGTCTTACGCATGACGACACGCCGTCTGCCTGCTGACGTGGTGGCGAGGGGGTGTGGCCTCAGACATGAACTCTCGTTGAACCCGTTTTCGCGTTGGGCGGGGCAGGCTCAGAAATGTTACGACACAGGGCAAGTAAAAGAGATATTTGGTTATTTTTTTCTTAACTGGACCCCTCCATCACCCATCACACACACACACAGCCTACAGCGGCAGTCTGACCGAACAGTGACCCTGCGTATCAGGGTCACTGTTCGGTGTCATATCAGCAGCGGTTGTTGGGTTGAGTTTGGTAAGCTCACTCCTCCTCCTCCTCCTTCCCTACCAATCACAGGGATATGGTACGAGGCATATACAGCCTAATTCAACGATGATAATGGACGTGAACTTCTGATGAACTTTTTTTTTTTTCGACTCGAGGGCAGCGAGGTCAAGTGGAGTTCAGTGGGACTTAAACGTTCATCATTTTCAATCTCATTCCCCAAACTTGGTTTGGTTAGTGCAGGGATGACTTCGGATGATGCACTGCGACACTGGGGCTTGTGGGACATCGCAGCTCAGTCTAACATACATATTTTACCCATGGGAGTGTGGACAAAGGCACACTGCAGCATCAGCCACCACTTTTCCCACATATCTCCTTTTTCTTGCTCTTGCACTTTACAAGACCCTCTCTCCGTTCAATGGACAATTTAGCAGTTCATGAATAACACCTTCAATTTGGTCATTGTTAGACTTTCATGACGGTAGTTGAGATGGGTAATAAATGGATAGAAGGGCTCTTAAACCTGGACTTCAAAGCTTTTGAGCTGCCAAGCGTATGAAATATTTAGCTTGTGCTCTAGTGTCACGGATTCTTAATGTTTTTGCAAAAACTGCTCGAGCCTCTGTCAAATCAAAATGGTGGCACCGACAGAAACCTGTGAAAGTCTGTGAGTGTCCCTGCATGAGTAGCATAGCACTTGAACCTTGTGTTAATAATACATAATGTCACTCCGCAGAGCTGCGGCATCTGGAAAGCAAGACGGTTATGGCAAAAAAAGGGACAAGCCGAGTGCTTGAGTTGTGGTATAGCGGGAAAAAAGTGAAGTGCTGCGACAGGAAGTCTGCCATAACAAAGGGTGAAATACAATACAATCTCATGCCAGAGTTAGACTTTAACCTAGTTTCTTAAGTTGAAAAGGTCATCTGGAGAGTCTAGTTTGGCTTGGTTGATGTTACAAATCGAAGTCCAGCTGAAAATTGAGCTCCATTTCTGTCACCCAAGGCTGTGTGACATTCAGGATTCTTTCGCCATTGGGCCCATCAGGAAAGCACAGTTGTGTAATGCTTCTTCTGTCTGAATGAATAATTAAGTCTGTGTAGCCTATGGCCGGGGCTCTTTGGGCTGTGTTGTGCAAACTAGCCAGCTGCTGTTGCGCTGAGAGTTCTGTTTTGCCAAATGTGTCACGCTTCAGTCATCTTCAGTGCTGGAAGTTTGCTTCTAACAACAGTCTTCCCCCCTCTCTTTGATCATAAAACATCATACACTTGCTGTGGATTTGTAATTCTGATGGTCTTTTTGATCCTTGACATGGCACTAGTTCCGTTTCAAGTCTTGACCCGTGTGGTCAATGAGAGTAGAGCGGCACATGAGGGATTTAGGATACTTATGTCCCATTTGACACCTTTTCAAACTCTTTATGTTGGCCGGTCTATGAAAAGAATACTAATTTGTGCTTTTCTCCGTAGCTCTATTCTATCTTCTTTCATTTCTTTAATGCAGCTCAGTGAATCCTCAATTCCTCACATAATATTTTTATTTGGATGTGTTTTGAAGATAGGTCTGCTTTGGAGGCATATAAATGAGATTATGTGTTGAGGTAAACGCATTATAAATGTCAAAATGTCACTTTATATTATGTCTGGCTGTCGTTTATGTTTAGGAAGCTACAATATTTCTTCAAAATATTTTCTATTCAGGGTTAACTAATATCCAATCTCTCCATTTTTGTCACATACTTCTCTTGTTCTGACAACTATCATCCCACACCCACCCAAGCAGCCACGATTGTACCTCCACCCTCGCCCGCCCCCTTTGCTCCCAGAGCAGAGATTACCAGCCCATCTGTATCACCAAAGCCAGCCCACGCTAAGCCGGGGGGAGCCCTGCTCAGCAAGGCACCGCCACAATTGTTAACCCTGATTAACTTGATGTGGCGCTCAGTAGAGGGAACAGTGTGAAAATCAAGCCAGTGCCGTGACCCAGTGCCCTGCCGCTGAACCAAGGGGAAATTGGGCAAACTTGGGGAGGGCTGATGGGAAAAGGAGCCAGGAAAAAAGACAGAGGAGTGAAAACGGAATTAAAAGAGAGACAGAGCGATGGCAAAGAGATTAAGGCGGCTTGAAGCTTTTACCAAACATTGCGCAAGAGGAACAGATATACATATACATACAGCACATGCATATCTGTCTCCATTTTAGTGCAATGAAAACTAGATGCAAGTTACGATATAGATTCCAGCGTTAAAACATGAATTGGTTTGACTTTCAGTGGCCCTGCG